CCAGCAGAGCATCAGGCCCTTCAGGGCCCTGTGACTGCCCAGGCCACACGCGCTGGAAGCCAGCCCTGCCCAGTGAGTTTTGCTGATGTGCTGCCTCTTCCAGCCGAAGGCCAGCTTGGCCTCAGTGCATTGCCATATGTGTGGGGTCCAATTCCATGCTGATACCCCACAGTGCTCTTCCTCTGTGGTTCCACAGCATCTCCGTGGGGGAGCCTGCCCCCTCCAGCAGCCCCAAGTGCCCTGTGCACCAAAGCTTCCAACTCCGTGTGTCCAGCTGAGTCCCCTTGGCTATCTGGTCTTTTTCTGAGTGTAGCACCTCAGCTCAGCAAGTTCCAAACCCAAAGCATTTCCTCCTGCCATCTCTTCAGCCTCTAAGGTCCCCCCTTCCTGTCGCAAGAAATGGCTCAACTCCAGCTCAAGCCCCAGCCCCAGCCTTGAGGATCCCACAGCTGCACAGGTCCCAGGTGTGTCTCTCCTCCTATCACAGGACCCTGTAACGGAAACCGCACACCATGGACTTTACCTCCCTGGTCTCTTTGCAGTCTGACCATTGGCTTTCTCCATGGCCACTAATCTTGTCCAAGCTTTGAGATCTCTCACCGAAACTGTTGCCACTGCTTCTTAACTGGCCTTCTTGGCTGCCCTGCCCTGTCCGTGCCACAACCCACTTTCCATCCTGTAGACCCGCTGACCCTTCCAATAAGCCTGGTGTGAGCTGGTCCTTCACTGCTTAAACCTGTCGGTGCCTCACCCTGATTATAACCCTTGCTTCATGTCTTTTTTTTTTTTCTTTTTTGTCTTTTTAGTTCTGGGGATTGACCCTAGGGGCTCACGTGTCCTAGGCAAATGCTCTACCACAGCACTACAGCCCCAGCTCTTTTTGCTTTTGAGATAGGCTCTTGCTATGTTGCCCAGGCAGGACTTAAACTTGCCGTCCTCCTGCCTCAGCCCACTGAGGAGCTGTGATAACAGTCACGCAGCACAGTGCTTGGATTTCATACATTTAGGAGGCCTGCAAATGCCCCATCCTCTGCGACTCTTTGGCCACATCTCTGTTGCCCTCCCTACCCTTCACTGGGCCCAGGCTTCCCTCTGCCTGGTTGTCTGCTTTGAAAAGTTTCCCATATCTGAGGTGCACACCACAAAAGACGGCAGTAGGGCAAAGTTTCTTTTCAGCAAGTTAAACACCAGTTCGAAGAGGAAAAAAGTGGAAGAGACTGAGGAAAAGGGAAGGCTTCATTTCCAGGTAGTTCTATGAGGAATGATTTTTACCATCAATATTTTTCTACTCTGGAGCAACCACGTTGCCAAGCACAATTCCAAAGCGAACACTGCATGTTAAGAGCATGGATCGAAGACTATCTGAGGATCAAGTTTGCATGTAGCATGGGAATGCTTTAAGGAATAAATTTTCAAAGACTAAACATTCCATTTAAGTTTTCAAAAACAAATGACCTCTGTAGTCTAGCGCGTGACACTCATTACCATTATTTTACTCCCAGTGAGTACCTGACAGTTCCTTTGGTGAAGGGATGAGCGTGTTGGCTCACAGCTCTCCATACCCAAACAGAAGGAGCTGAAGAACCTGAGGCAGATTTACACTGCTTTGTTTTAAGTCTTTGGAAATCAAGAGATGGAGAGAGAGGGATAGAGGGGTGGGAAATGGGATGAAAAAAGGAATTAAAATGTGCCATATACATGTACTAAAGTCATACAATGTAAACATCATGTATTGCAGAACATGTTAATAAAAGTAAGTAAAATCTGCTGGGTGTGGCAGCGCACACCGGTAATCCTAGCACTCAGGAGGCTGAGGCAGGAGGCTCAAGGTGAGTTCAAGGCCAGTCTGGACTATGAAATAAATTCAAGGCCAGCCTGAACTGCAGAGTGAAACCCTGTGTCAAAAAGACAAAATACATAATTTTAGAATCATAAATTGTTCAATCTTAAAACAGCACACATCAGATGAGAATTTTTTTTTTTTTTTTTAAAGTGTTTCACTCTGCAGTTCAGGCTGGCCTTGAACTCATAATTTAGCCTAGGCAGGCCTGGAACTCACAGTAATCCTCCTGCTCAGCCTACAGTGCTGGAGTTACTGAATTGCGTGCCACCATGCACACAGCCTGATAAGCACTCCAATACATCAGTTTCAGTAGTTCATCAATTGCTGCAATAAATACCACATGTAAGTCACTTTTCTCCTTCTGAAGAAAAAGTCTGCAGCTGTTTGGTAAAAAAACTTTTTAAAAATTATAATAGATAACAATCATCAATATACATTTACTCAATACTGGCACATTCAACTATATAAAACAAACACTAATGGATAGGAAAAATCAGGTAAATAGTAATTCAGTTGTAATGAGGGACTTCAAGCCCCACTATCACAGACAGACCAACTAGACAAAAAACAAAACAAACAACAACAAAAAAAAAAAACAAAGACATATCAGAGCTGATCAAATCTCCAAACAAATGGACTGAGTAGATACTTACAGTTTTCCACCCACAACGGAATACAAATTTTCTAAGCAGCACATGGGACTTTCTCCAAAATAGGCCACACACTAGTTCACATAACATGCTTAAGCAAAGGCAAAGAAAGTGAAGCTGCCCTGTGTATATTAGCTCATAGTGCAACACAACTCAAAATAAATGTCAGAAGAAACCACAACATCTATGTAACACAGGGAAACTAAATAATACTCTCCTGAACAACCAATGGGTCACAGATAAAATTAAAGACAGACAGTTCCTATAACTAAACGATAATGTCAGTATGACATATCAGAACTTATGGGATGCAATGAAAGTAGTCCCACGAGGGACGTTTATACTGATGAATTCACATTGATAAAATGGAGCAAGCTCAAATAAATAACAATCTTGAGCCTCAAAGTTCTAGGAAAATAAAAGAAAAACCCAAAGTTTATACAAGGAAGGAAATTATAAACATCAGAGCAGAAATTAATGCAATAGAGACTAAGAAAACAGTACAAAGAATCAAAAGGTTGTTTTTTGTTTTTAAAGATTTGGTTACTGATTCCCAGTACCAAAACAAAACCCTTAGCCAACCTTATCAAAAAAATGCAAGACTCAGATCTATGCAATTAGGAATGAAAGAAGATAAATCACAATAAATCCTATAGAAATCCAGAAGATCAACAGTACCTTCTTTGAAAATCTGTACTTAACTGAGATGGAAAATTCAGATGCAATGCAACAAATCAGTAAAATCACACACCATGACCATCCCAGGGATGCAGGGTTGGTTCAACATACACAAAACTAACGAATGTAATATATAATACTAACTGAACCAAGACAAAAATCACAATGGCAAAATGAAGGCCCCAGGTGTAACGTGCTGACCTTAGAAACTGTTTCAGTTGCTCCACATGGAGTGAAACTTCAGTGGCGAGCAGCAGATGATCTAGGAGTCAGTGAAAGTAACTTTTAAGGTATGAGCTGAACGCGTTGTCAGTTTACACTGGGTTGGGGGGGGGTGCCCACTATAAGCTGGGGAGCACCTGTAGGGCACACAGAAATAATAGCGGGCAGACTGACAGGAGGCAGTGTCACATTTCTAATGTGAACTTCTAGGACAGTTTCTTTTCAAATGTACTGAAGGACAGCAAAATAGTTAAGAAGAAGGGTGACAGTGTGAAGTAGCACCATCTCAGTTACTTAATTTTCCAGAAAACTAGTTTTAACCATCGACACATAAGCAACTTTCCAGTTAGAAATACACAGTTAATTACAGCCAAAGTTATAAACAACCAAACTTAGCCAGACCTACTCACATATTTGGATTAGTCCCATTTTTACCTTTCTTCACTATAGAAATGCTTCCTTTTAAGGCATATCTACATTTACCAAATCCACAAGAAATGTTAAGTGTCAGCTTCAACAACTAACAAATATGAGCATCCTGATACACCCAACCTCCACACCAGGAATTTCAATGATGGGTTTACAGAAAATTAAACACGCATACTCTCATTCTTTAGTTCCGGATCCCTGGCTGGTGCTGGTTCTGGTGCTACTGAAGTGACCTCCCGTCCTCAGTGGCCACCGTGAGAGGACCCAGGGTTCCAGCTGCTGAATCTCTAAGTCCTGATGCCCCAGACAGAGGCCGGTGGCAGTGAGTTCAGGGACGTCGCTCGTCCCGGTTCTGTGGGTGCCGCTGCATTCACACTCAGTCAGTCAGGGCTGCGTTTCTGCGAGGCGGGCTGCAGTTTCAGAGGGCGCCTTTGAACAGGCTCCTCCCTGCTCCAGTGGAATGGTGCGTTCACACAGCGCTCACCCATAAAAGGACCAAGCTCCTGATACTGCGGGCCCTGGCATGGAGCTGAAGGGAACTGTGCCAAGTGAGAAAGACCACTCTCTAGAGCGTTCATCATTTAGGATTCTACTCACAGAGCATTCTGGAAATAACTGAATCAAGGCGACAGGAACACAGTGGCCTTCAGGGATTACGGTGGGAGGCGGGAGGCAGAAAAGAGGTCACAAGGGCTCCTGGTGATGACAGCGCTGCATCTTGACTGTGGCGGTGATCACACGAGTGTGCACAGGTGACAGAAACGCAGACAATGTAACGCACTGTCTTTTTCACAGACTCCTATGACAGCCCAGTTTTCAGCTGTCTACAGAGTTCTCTAAGGATCATTCATATTTGCTGCAGATCAATTTTCTGCAGAGAAGCCATTTCTGACTAGTATTTTTTCCTTTTCATTTTTTAAAATCCTTAAATTACCTTTAAAAGATAAACTTCATCTCTACCTTACTTCTCTACCTTATAAGAACTTAAAATTCAGAGACTGAACTATAAAGCTGATATATATATATATATATATATATATATATATAAAACTACTAGCATTTTCCTTTTTCCTTTGTTTTTCCAAATTAAAGTAAAAGAGAAATGTTTCTAACTTAAATTGGAATAAATCAGAAAAGAAAAAGGTTATATAACAAACACTTCTCTTGGACACCTGCAATTTCTAAGAGTTAAGAATATTTTTATTAAATTTAGGGAATTAATAGCTGCAAACAAATGCATGATTTCTTCCAAAAGGCCACTTTGTGATAAAGTATATACACATAGTGTTGATGGTTTCTCTAAAGTGCTTAACGTCACAGGCTCGCGAATCACTATTGCTTTAAAAGGTCCTTTAGTACAGCTCCAGCGCTGTTGTCAGGAGACACTGGCAAAGGTGTAAACGTGGGCAGAACATCTGAGATGGGTTTCAAAAGCAGATGCCCAGGCCCACCAGGTCCAAGCCCAGCTGGGTTAATAAGAGGCACAGCTGCAGAGCGGGGGGCCAAGAACGCATTCATGTCTGTTCTTCTGCCGGCCCTGGATTCTGCGGTATCTAGTAATAAAACAGGGATCATTTAGTCTCTGTCCATCACAAAAAAGCCAAGTTGAAAAATGTGCTGACTATAATAGCATAAAAGCTTTCACTACATTGTCATATGAACATACATAACTATGATTAATCAATGTACCACTACTATTAACTTTAAATTTCCACTTTATTGGTAAATACACTTGTCTTTAGCACTATTTTGGGACTTGATTCAAGATGACAGGATAAATAAACCTTAACATCCAAACATAAATACTGATTTGTATTAGGAAAATGTGCTTAAAATTCACTCTTGGTAATTCAAAATGTTTTCTGCTGAAAACAATTCTTTACTTATATATTCTGTTTCTAGACTTGTCTCTCAAATAAACATAATTCATATCCACTGGGTTTTTACTTACTTATTTTTTGGTACCGGGAATCCCTGCTGGGTTCTATATCCCACAAGCAGAGGTCTATGAAATATTGATGGGTGACATTTTAATTTACATTTCTCTAAAGGGAAGCAATGTTGAATATTTCTTCACATATTTATGGGCCTTTTGTATTTCTTCTGCGATGTTTATTCATTTTGGTTCCTATTTTTGGCTGGATCTTTTATGTTGGAGGGTCTACATGTTTTCAGTTCTTTACATATTCCAGATATAAGTTCTCTGTCCAAGGTGTAGCTGGCAAAAGATCTTCCATTTTTATTGCTTTACTCTGTTGGATGTTTCATTTGCTACTCAGAACCTTTTAAATTTGATATAATCCCATGTGTTGATCTTTGATGTTAATTCTTATATAATTAGGATTCTCATGTAATTTTTTTTTCTTTTTCTTTTTTTTTTTTTTTTTTGTCTTTTTCATTTTTATCGGTACCAGGGATCGAACTATAATTAGGATTCTACTCAGAAAATCCTACCTAACTCTATGACTTCAAAGAGTTTAACTATTTTATCTTCCACAGATTGTTTCTGTTTTCATATTTAGATCTTTGACCCATTTTGATTTTAGTTAAGTGCATACTGAGAGATACTGCCTGGTCTAGCTTTAATTTTCGGCATGTGGATACGCTAAATACAAATAATCAACACTTGAAAAAATGTTGAACTTGACTGGCCTTTAGAGAAATACAAATTGAAACTACACAGAGATTCCATCTTATCCATAGAGAATGGCTATCAACACAGAATCAAATAATAACAAATGCTAGAGAGGCTGTGGTCAAGAATTAACCCTTCCACACTGCTGGTGAGAATGTAAACTAGCACAAGGAGAAAACAGGTTTTCAGTATCTGGTATTCCTCTTAAATAAAGTTATGACTTTTAATTAAATTTAGCAGTCAAACATGTAAACAACTAGATTTTACTACCTTACCATTCTATGAAAGTTCAGAAAATAGAAACATTTGTTTAAATACCAAGGAAGTTTTTAAGATTCCAGAATATAAATATTATACTAAATTTAAATATATGTGTGATATAAGCAAAAGAATATATAATAACATATACCTTTTGGTAGCCTATCTTGAAATACAAAGATTTCCAAAAAATTTTTTTAAAAAGACTACCTCATAGTTAAGCTTTGGAAACAGCCTAGATGTCCATCAACAAACAAATGAATAAAGAACATATGGCATATAAATACAGCCAAATTTTATTTAGTCATAAAGAAGAATTAACTCATGACATTTACAGAAAAATGGATTTTTTTTTTTTTTTTGCTTTTATAAGGCAGGGTCTTTGGTTTTATAAGACAGGTCTTGTGTAACCCAGCCTACCTTGAACTCACAGCAACTCTCCTGCCTCAGCCTCCTGAGTGCTGGGATTACAGGTGTATGCCACCATTCCTGGGTGAATGTACTTTGAGATCATAATATTAAGTAAAATAAGTGACACAAAAAATTAAATACTGTATGGTTTCTCTTCTAAAAGAAGCCCACAGTGTAAACAGTGAAATAAAGGCAGACTTTTTGGAGAAACCAAGAGATCAGAGAAGGGGTGTGGCAAGGGGAGGACCAAAAATTTTATATACATATACATTTACATATATCCCCAAATGAATGCAAATCCTCTATGTTGCAAACATACCAATAAAAATGAATAAATTATACATAGTGTAACAGATAATGCAATTTCAATTCAATCAAGCTTACCACATGTCAGTATCGGGGGTATGAGTGTAAACACCACTGGACAGGAAGGGTTCAGGCACAGATAGCTACAAGCTCAGCCGCTCGCTTCCAGCTAGACCCTTCACACGTCCAGTGCTTCACAACCCTGTTTGCTAACTGAGCATGTACTATCTCATGTCAAGATCTGGCTATTGATTATTACACTTAGATTTTCCAAGAGAAAAACTTTTCCTAAACTATAAACTCAGCACCTAACTCTGATTAATAAACAGCATCATTAGAGAAGAAAACAAGTGACCAGGAAAAGGTTTAACCAATTCACTACCATGTCCAAAAGAATAATTCAGAGTGGCTTATGCTGAGACAGAATTCTAATATTGGATCTACAAAGGGAAAATATTGTATACTATTTAAACTAATCTAAGACATTTAAATATCAGATTGTTACTATACAGAAAGCAAAAATTTGATTCCTTATTGGAATTTTAGAATCAGTGTTCCACATTTTCAATAACACTAATTTAGTTAGTATCACTGAAGAGCACAATCATAAAGGCAAACACTCAGTTGGTAACACTGTAGAAGAAAATGGGCATTTGACTTTACCTTTCAAGGCTTCTGATACATTTGTATTTAATTCTCTCTGTCTTGGTGAACTGAGGGGTTTCATGTCATGAACAGAAAGCTTTGGTGGTGGAACAGATGGATGAGATTCTGTTTCTAGAAATTTAACAAAAAGTTCTGAAAAAGACTAAGAAGAAATACTTTGGTTATATTAGGTTAGATATCCAAATTATATTCACTACAGCTAAGAAAATGTACCTGCTATTGTAATTGTTAAATACTAATCATGCCATTTGAATCTTTTTGCCCTTTTATAAATAGCTTTATAGGCCATCCTAGCAACTTATTTGCAGCTACTGCAAATTAACAATTTAATTATCTTTGATGACAGCACTCCTTTCAAACATTTTATAATCAGAATTAGCCAACTGAGGCCTCTCATTCTCATCAGAGGCACGCAAGACATCAACTCTTTTCATTTTAATAACATAGACATGAAAAACTGTATCATGTGAAAACAAGTATTAAACATAACTTTCTAAAGATCTGCAAAGATCTCCAGTAATATTATCAGATTTAAAAAATGTAGTGAACATCTTTCCTTTAAATTAAATTTTATGCCATCCAAGGAAAATAAAGACTAATCTCATTCTTTGTATTTCCTTGTTTTAAAAAGAGGAGAAACTACAATCTCACAGTGTTAACACTGAGCTAACACCCACGGTAGACCAGGCACCTTGCGTTCCCACATCCTCACTCCTCCTCCTGCCAGCCAGGGCTCAGGGCAAGTGCCCTCTCTTCTGGTTTGCAGCTGGATTCCCAAGATTACAACTTCCAGGACACACCAGTGCTGAGTAGGTATCACTGTCTTCATGATGCAGAATATGCATAAATAAGTAAAATAATGCCTCTTTAAGAATGGCATAATTGTCAGGCATGATGGTGCATGCCTATAATCCCAACACCGAGGAGGCTAAGGCAGGAGGATTGCTGTGAGTTTGAGACCAGCCCAAGCTACATTGTGAGATCAAGGTCAGCATGCATTACATAGCGAGACTGTCTCAAAAAGCTTTCCCCGAACACACACACACACACAAAAGAATGGTTTAATTTTACAGAAAGACTGCCCAAGGCAGCAGGATCAAACACAGATAAAAGAACAGTAAAACTCTTTAAAAAAAAAAGTACCATAAAGAGTGAAAATAAAACCTATATGCAATCAAATTATTAAAACTGGTTGTCATGTCTAAATCTGTTTAAGTCCAAAATAATAAAATGGTTATATAAATTGCCCTAAGTAAGAAATCTGATTCTTTGCTATGAACATACAATCATCATTCATATTCAACAAAAGTAAAATTATTCTTACACTGTTAAGCACAGATTGTTGATTGGGTCTCAGGGGTGTATTGGGGACACTTTTTGATGTTCCAAGCCACCCAGTCATCCACCTAGTTACACCTCCCTGATCTTCATTAAGCAACTATAGGATTATTTTAAAACAAAACAAAACAAATTATCAGTATGAGAAATGATAGCCATAAACAATTTCAGATATTAACAAATCACACTTTTAGTTCAATTTCTAGGAAGCATTTCCTACTACTGACAAAGGCAACAAATAGGACAAAATTCTATCCTAAGCACTATCTCGAATACAATTTTGCATACTATATTTCAAAATTTCAGCATCTTGACATGAGAACTAGTTTACAAGTTGCAAAGTATTTAAACTAACATCATACAAACTGAACAAATGTATTTCTTCAATGCAGAATAAAATTTCATTTTCACGTAATTGAGAAAATTAAAGTTACACACGGCTAAAGGAAACAATTTTCTATGAAGACCCTACTTTTACAAATATGTTCAGAACAATAAGTGTAATAAATGTATATAGAGCGGCTTTCACTGCCTAGTTACCTGTTCCATTTCTTCCCTTTTAATACCCAGGATGCTTCCCATTAATCGGAACACTTCATGACGCTGGTTTTTTGGTGTGTGGAAATGACCAATGAAGAGATTTCTCATAAGGACTCTGGAAATGGAGGAGGACACGGCTGACACCATATGGAGTGTCCCCAGACAGTAAACACAAACATTTGATTGCACTCACACAATTAAATATTTAATTATAAAAAGAATGAGCAATAAAACATTTTAAAGGGGCTTATAAGAAGACAGAGGCAACCCCTGTTGGGAATATCTAAAACAACTCACAGTGTTACCCATATCGCCTTCTTCGACCCAGTGGCCACACTGAGGAGGTGCCTCATTCACAATTCTCGCTGCCTGCCAGTGCTCAGGTTCCCCTGGAGCAGAGCCTTAAACAGCTGTTTTTGTGTTTCATCACTGTATTTCCCTACTCACTTGTATTAAAAATTTGCTGATACTTAAATTTTAAAAATATTCATTAAGAGTATCTGCATGTATACCTAGGTTCAGACCCAAGACACTTGAGCAAGATATCTTCATGTATAGACAATAAAGGGAAAAAAATAGTAAAAATAAATTTAGTACATTATTCTGCTGACCTCCACTAAAACTACTCACATATCTCATTATATATGAAAAAGTTTCTTCTAAATTTAATCACATCTAAACATCTGCATGTAGAAGCTATTTAATCATAAAAACCACCATCTCTACAAAATACAAAAAAGTTAAGAAGTAGAATCATACTTGTCAACTTTCCCTTCTGTGCTGTTTACTAAGTTCATCACTTTCTTTTGTGCATCATCCAACATTTCTTGTCGGAGCTCATCTGTTTTAAAACAAGCAAAGACAAATAAAGACAGCTGTTAACCGACAGACGTAGCTGGACGAACAGAGGGTAATTAGACTTATGACATCATTACTGTGAACTATGAAGGTATGGCCTATTCTAACTGAAAATATTTAATTACTTTTATGCCTTCTTTGGTTTAAGCTCTAATACAGAAATTATCTAGAAGCCAAGGCAGGCATTATTCCCATAATTTACCCCAGTAAGGTAATCGATTCCTCAACAGAGTATTTTTAAAAGGCTTCCACCTTCTTTTAAAACTTAACAGTGAGTGTGACTGGGATGGTGCATTGTCTTGCGTGGAGTAATGTAAAAGGGATTCAAACCCTTGATCTGAACTACAAAGAGGGGAGATAATGCTGGATACTTCTACTCCCCGACTGACAGCAGGAATTCGTGACATCACCAGGGAATCATCAACTTCGAAATTTCAAAACAATGGAGAAGACTCAAGAAAATTATTTAAAAGTATAAGATAGAAAATGATATCACAGAGTTTTATTGGATCATTGAACAGAACTGTTTGCAGTATCATTGGTGGAATGTCCACTCTACAAGCTTTAATTTTGTGACTTGAACAATTATTTCTAAGATGGCAATATGTAATCCATTAACTAGTGATTTCCTACTGCGCATTTTTTTATTCTGTAAATCTGTATAACTTGTACCCCTTCACTGTTTTTTTTTCTTTCTTTTCTTTTCTCCTTAAATAAAAATTAAAAAAAAAAAAAAAAAAAGAAAATATCCGAAGAATTCTTCTAGAACCCTGCAGCTACTTATTTCAGTTACCAGGTAAGCAAGTGAGAAGAAAACTTTCATAGGCATTTAGTCACTGGCTGAAAGTTCCAGAAGACAAACTACAGATTATCATTGAAGTGACAAACGTTGCATAATGCCAGTTTACTCATTGATGATATCGAGGACAATTCAAAACTCCGACATGGCTTTCCCGTAGCACATATAGCATCTATGGAATTCCATCTGTCATCAATTCTGCCAGTTAGGTACATTTCCTTGGCTTGGAGAAAGTTTTAACACTTGATCACTCAGATGCAGTGAAGCATTTTACCTGTCAGCTTTTGGAACTCCACCAGGGACAAGGCCTAGATATTACTGGAGGGATAATTACATGTGCCCCACTGAAGCAGAATATAAAGCCATGGTGCTGTGAAGAAGGTGGACTGTCTGGATTAGCAGTAGGTCTCATAGAGTTGTTCTCTGACTACAAAGAAGATTTAAAACCACTGCTTAATACATTTGGGCTCTTTTTCCAAATTAGAGATGGTTATGCCAACCTGCGCTCCAAAAAATACAGTGAAAATAAAAGTTTTGTGAAGATCTGACAGAAGGGAAGTTCTCATTCCCTACAATTCATGCTATTCGGTCAAAGCCTGAAAGCACCAAGGTACAGAACATCTTGCATCAGAGAACAAAAAACATAGATATTAAAAAATACTGTTCCCAGTATCTTGAGGATGTAATAGAATACTAATACTAATGTGGCCAAAAAGCCCTACAACAAAATGAAACAAAAACCCTGACAATCACACGTGGCTCACAGTGTTCTTGCATGGGACAGAGCCTTCTTAGAACATATTGGAGATATAACACAGTACTGGCACTCTCTCGCTCTCTCTGTCTCCCTCTCTCTCTCTCTCTCTCTTTTTTTGAGACAAGTTTTGCTACACAGTTCAGACTAGCCTTGAACTCACTTTGTAGCTCAGGCTGGCCTCAAACTTTCAGAGATTCTACTGCCTCAGCCTCCCAAGTGCTGGGATTACAGGTGTGTGCCACCACATCCAGCTACCTCATTTTTAAAAAAGGAAAAGAACAGCAACAACAAAAAAGAGAAGCGGTACGTGATGTCCTGTATCTATAGTCCCAGATACTCAGTGGAGCTGAGACAGGCAGATCACTCGAGCCCAGGATATGAAGCCCAACCTAAACAACACAGGGAGACTCCCTCTCAAAAAAACAACTCCGAATGATAGACACTTTCTAAATAAAATTCACAAAGCAGGGAGTAGATTATGAGGCAGTAAATTAAATTACAAATTGGTCTTTGTATCTCCAGTGCTGACTGCACTGCTTGCTAAAAAGCAGATAAATAGTGGCTATTTGATAATTAATGAAAGAGCGATTGATTCTGTCTAGGAAGGAAGAATACTGGGAGATGACAAGAATAAATGAATTATGTTCTGAATTATCTATAAAGGAATGAAAGTACACAAAACATTAACTGAAAACATTCTCGCCAGTATACAACTTGCTTTATACTTAGAGAAACTCATTTTTAAAAACTCCAATCTCTAAAGTATAGTTCAGTTTAGATAATTATATTACACAAACATTTGAAATGTGACCATTGAGGCCAGGTATGGTGATGCATGCCTGTAATCCTAGCACTCAGCAGGTTGAGGCAGGAAGTCACTATGAGTTTGAGGCTGTGTTGGGCTACACAGTTCGAGTCCAGCCTGAAGATACTATCTTAAAAAAAAAGGAAAAAGTTGGAGAGTTTAATTATTTCCCTAACTGGTATATAGTTTTTTCTTAATTTGAATTTTGGCACTGTCTATTAAACCTAGTTGTTTAATCACAGATAACTTTTAAACACTTATGGCAACTCGGAAAGCTACATCTGGTACTTACATATTTTCTCTAAAATCATCATGTTTGTCAAAAACATCTATAAGGACATCCCTCCGAAGGATGAGTATGAAAGCATCAGAGAATGTACTTGGCCTATATTCTACAGGACACTGTATGTTTCCTTGTATAAAACATGTTTTGAAAAACAGAATGTCTTTATCTAAAATAAAAATTCTAACATTTAGCACCATGAAGGTAGTTCTACGAAAAGCACTTTGAATTTCCTCTATATTTGTAGTTGAAACAGTAATTTCTAAAAGAAAAAATATAATGATGCTTTTTGAAATGAGAAGCCAGTCAAAAGGTTTTTTATATTATCAAGAGTATAGCTTTGAGAAAATAAAGTGACACTCTTTTAGAGATGTAAATCAGTATAAGGACTAGGTAATGTAAGAAAACAGACTGTTAGGAAAAGCTAAAAAAAGCAAGAATAATTTAAAGACATAACAACCAACTTTCCTTTCTTCTTGTCTGTGTAACACTGGCCCCTTGCCTGCCTTTTCAAATACCAAATATACAGGCTTAATTAGGCCAAGCCTTTTCTGTATTGACACTGACTCCACAAAATACACCCAAAATTCCTATACATTGATGATAAATATTAATTATCACTTTTTATATGAAAGGAATATAGAATCTTTTATTCTTTCCAACATCTACTGAGAATGGCTCAGGTATATATCTAGAAGGGACTGTGGCCTTAAGATATTACAGCACATGCCTAGATACATCAAACTCTGGGAGGCTGAAACAGAGGATCATAAGTTTGAGCCAGGACTGCATAACTTAGTAACCTTGTGAGACCCTGTCTCAATAAATAAATAAATGAAATGAAATGAAATGAAAAGGCCTGGAGATGTAGCTCACACTCTAGTACAAAAAATAAAGAAGAAAAGAAAGGAGACTCACAGTAGCATAATGTACAGCATTGAGTTATCAGAGGCCAAAGAGTTAACCCACAGCCCACCTTTCTCATTTACCCTTTAGTGTAACCCCACCCTAAGATAAGAAATCTTCAGTGAACCCTTAGGTGTGCAGTGTGTTCCTTCTGGGCTGGCCCTATGTCTTCTAAATAATGCTGTGGTTGTGCTGGCCTTGGATCTAACTAGATTGCTTTCTCCTGAAGTACTGTCTACTGGTAAAGGCAGCCATTTCAACAAGGAGGCTCCGAGCAGAGCGGTTACTAACATGTCTTCAAACGAGATAGAAATACCAACAACAAAAGACTAGTCAGACGATAAATGTTTTCCTGATGGGAACACAGTAATGTGGAAAGATCATGAGCTTTGGCCATGGGCACAGAGATCAGACTACAAGTCTCAGTTTCTTTAACCTAAAAAATCGAAAGGACCTTGTACCATTTTGGCATTGTTTATAAATGGTAAATCAAACTACACAACAGAATAATACAATGCAGACTGAGTAACATAATACAGTCTTTTACACCAAGAGTCAGTAAGAGATACTCAGTTTCCTGGCTTCCTTGCTGCTCGTCTCCAGGTCCCCTCTAGATTTGGAGTTCCTAAGCTGGTCAGCTCTTACAAAGGATTTTCAGTGGACAGTCAGTCATGTGCCTCAGAGTAAGTTATTTTTAGGACAATTACCTTACATCTTATAATAATTATTACTTGTATTCTAAAATCTCCCGTTTCCTGTCTTCCGCTGGGTTTAGGTGCTGGCCTTCCCCTGGGCCTCCAGGCCTCAGTGGCTCTTAGCTAGCTGCCTCCTTCGGGTCCACGCCAATGTTCTCGGTTGAACAGTATCTCTGATGTTTCACTTCCTCTTTTTGCCTATTTTTAACTTCTGTTTTATGTTGGGTGGAATGTGTTTCTAATTCCTTAAATATGTGTCTTGTCTTCGTTGTGTCAACATAAGACACCTAAAGTTGATGAACTTCTAGGTTCCACAAAGAACTTTTCAGTTATCTTGAGTGGCTTCATAAATCTGACATTAAGTGAGGATGTGCCACCTCTGTCAGCAGGTAGATTCAACAAAGCCCCATGTTAATCTAAGCTCCCTGTTAATCTAAAGTCTCACTGATAATCTGAAACACAGAGCTCGCCTTAGGGAATGGATAGGGCCTATGCGATAAACTACAAGCATGGGGGAAAACAAGGAACAAAGACAAACATGATCAGTGTCTGCATGTAAAGCCCCATCTATAATCATAAAAACCTACTTATGTAAAACAGGTAGCCAGGTTAAGTTTTAGGGTCTCCCAGATCATATTAAAGTCTCTAAAAATAAAGGCTTTCAGTGGTAGGAATGGTGATGCTTAAAAGGCTGATGGCAAGAAAAGCATGTGGAGTATTTTATATTAATATATTTATAAGTACTTATTGTGGAAATGTGTACTCGGATAAAACCATGTGGCTACAGCAACCCCTTTATAGTTGAGGGTATATAAGTTTTGTGTGTATGTGGTTTCCTGTATTTAGTATTGCCTTTATTTAAAATAAGGATTCAAATTGCATTTAAAGAAATACTGCTTTAGAAACTGAACTTCTTGGTGCTGCTTATAAGTATTATCTATAAAGCAGTATTAGGAAAATATATTGATACAAAGAATATGAAATTTAAAAAGTTTTTTAAAACCTAGTTATATGCAGACACTTTGCTTCACAAAGTTACTCCCTTTTACTTGAGAATACTGTCCTAACAAATCAGGTAGGATGTGCAGGAACAGATAGGGGAGAAGCCATAATCATAAAAAGGCAGATCAGTCAAATCAACTTGGTTGGTTGTCAACAGAGTAACAAGAAACAAAACAGCATTTTTCTCAACATCCAAGAGAAGTAAGTCCATAGTCACAGCCACCTTAATCTGGTTTCATAAGGATCAGACAAAATTTGAAGTAACTCCATATAGAAGATATAAATGGAAGCCACGCACCAATGGTCCCCCTCAGCTGTGCCAAACCAAGGCAGAAGGTGCACCTGAGTCAGAGCACTGCGGGGGAGAAGAAAGGGAAAACCTACTTTGTTTTTTAAGTTCTTCAATTTGTTCTTCCTTTACATCCAACTGTTCTGTAAGTCTTGATGCTGAATCCAAAGCAGCATTTGCTTCATCCAAATGCTCCTGAGGGGAAAATGTGTATTAAAAAGCAGTATGCAAAAACCCTGCCGCAGCCACGCAGCTGCGGAACACATCAGAATCACCCTTTCCATCTTAGCTAATGAAACCGCACGTCTACGACCTTGGAAAAGTTCATGCAACTAAGTAAGTATCAAAGATACAGCCCATACTCTTGTGTATGTATTTCACAGTGTAATACTGCCTTATTTAGAGAAACTAAAGAGAAGATTTTACTAGAAGACAACATGGTGACAGCAGTAAAAGTGACAAGAAGATATAAAAAACAATGATAGAAAAGTCCCCAACAACTAGAACAACAAATGTTTTTGCTCTTCTCAAATTTCACAAGCCATGACTCTCATTTGAACATTTCTGTCCTGCGTTCAGGACAGCTGAATCTATTCTTATGTGAAAACCTCTTTGCACACACTGTATGTTTTCCTAAGCTGTCTGCCATGTCAATTTGTAGGTCACTTGTACTTTGTCACCTGTGCTATGCAAATACTGCTCATGAGCACTGCCAGCTTTCTGATGATTACCTGTTGCCATTTAAACATGTTTAGTTATACATGCTAGTTTGCTCTTTCGGCTTCTTGAGTTTAGCACTGGTTAGGATCTTCCTTGTCCCAACCATACTGTAGTCTTTAGATTTCATTGCAAGACATTTTGTTTCTCTAAAATTCAATCTTTAATGTAATATTGTTCAATGGGTATACTTTGAACAATTGGTAATCTCCTAAATGTTAAAAGAATCATTACTCACTGCAATAATCAAAAATATACCTACATATCTAACACCACTCCCAGCTGAGAATCACAGTTTAATGCAGGTAGACACTTTGGTACATGGCATAAGATGCAGCCCAATTTTATTTTTTCCATATGAATAGTTTCCAATATCATTTACTAGATAAGCCATCTTTTTCCTCATTAAATTAAAACTGGCTTAATCAGGATTTAGTTTAAAATTTTTAAATATATCATAGATCTTAATTATAGTTTCATTTTAATATCTTGCAGGTAAGTGCCTCCTTACACTTACATTTGTAACAATTTTCTTAGCTACTCTGGAGATTTTTACCCAGGTAATTTCAGAGTGAGAGCTTTTTTGGTGTGTTATCTTGGATAGACTACAGTCCTCAGCTATTCAAACAGAATCTATATACTGCTTTCAAGCTATCTTTGCAATGGTACTCAATATTCTTAATCACTTAGGTTAAAAAAAAAAAATTACCTTAAAGAATTCAAGGGCCTGAACCAGTTAGCAATTCATCAAAGCAGGGCTTTTGCTTCCCCAAAAAAGATTAAAAAAAAAATCTTTCTGTGGACAGCAGCTTTGACCTGTGCCCTTGGAGTCCATCCTGCCTTTGACTTCCCTCACTGCTGAGGACAGCAGTCTGGTGTAGGCCTGGGTTGGAGCCCTGATTGTGAGCCTTACAAACCCCAGACTGACTTAGACAGCCACTGCCACCGTGTGGCCAGTTCCTTAAAATAAAACACACATGGGTGCATCCAGCTATTTGTATACACATGCACACAGGGACACATGCTAACGATACTGGCTGTGGTCCTAGGGGCTGAAACCTTCCTGATACACAGAGAGACTAAAACCAAAAATATTTAAATGAAAATATCCCAAATCCATAAAATAAAAGTTACTGTAAAGAAAATGTTACATAAACTTTAAATCATTTGACAGACAAGACACTCAGGGACCACTGGAAACAGTGAAAGTGTTGAGTAAATTTATCTTCTCTTTAAGTGTATTAATAAACTGACAAGCATACATATTCACTAAACAAAGACCTCATTAGTAACCAGGGAAATGCGAGTTACAGCTACTAGAAGAAAGTCCTCCTGTACCTAAATGAGTCCCCCAGAGCTCACAAGTTGGAAACTTCACCCCAGTGTGCTGATGACTGGGGACAGAGCCCTGGGATCACTGCCCTCATGAACAGATCAGTGCCACTGCTGTGGGAAGGTTTCTCCATAAAGAGACAAGTTCAGTCACATCTTGCTTTTTCTCTGTGGCCCTCTCTTTGCCTTCCTGCCATGGGATGCTGCAGCAAGAACACCCATATCAGACACTGCTTCCTTAATCTTGGGCTATCCAGAGCCCAGAAGTGTTAGCCAGTACCTTCCTTTCCATTGCAAATCTCCCCGTGTGGGGTCCTCTGTAACAGCAGCACAGAACTCACTAAGACACTTCCCACCCAACAGATTGGCAAAAATAGAAAAAGTTGTCCATACATACGTACCCTATAACTCAGCAATCAGAATACACACCTGAAAGAAATTCTTGTCCGTATGTATGAAGAGATATAAATAAGGAAGTTTGTAACCATGCTGTTTGCACAGATATGTAAAATGACCTTCATCAGTAAAATGGGCGGTACAATGTTGGTTTCTATATGAAGTGGTAGGAAGGCATGAGATGTGGAAGGATACATAAGATACTTCAAAGGATGGCACTATTATACAAGGTGAATATGTAGGCATTTGCGAAACTGCTGTTTTTATATTTATTCTTATTAAAAATTATTTTCAGTCACTGAATACTTAAAAATTTTTAAACTCTTTTAGAAAATAAGTGCTAGGACTACAGATATGCGCCACCATGCTCTGCCATTCTTTTTTTTTTTTTTTTTTTTTCTTGTCTTTTTCCTTTTTATCAGTACCAGGAATCGAACTCACGACTGCTGCCTGCTTGCAAGGCAGGCGCTTATGCCGCTGAGCTAAATCCCCAGCCCCCTGCTCTGCCATTCTTTAGTATTTTGCTCCCTGTTCTGCCCAGCAGAGGGCTAGATACGGTGGAGCCATTCAAACAATATGTAAAGCAATGACTGAATAATAAAATGTCTAAGAGGAAAATGTCAGCTCACCTGTAAAGACAACACCTTTCCTTCTAGACTTTCCGCCTTTTTCTTCCATTCAGCTATAAGTTGTTTTTGCTTTTCTAACTCAGCAGAATACATAGCTTTTTCCTCTAAAAAGAAAGTTACATTAATATTTTGAAATTGTATGACAAAATTAGAACGCTAAACCACTTGGTATTTTAATAATTCAACAACAAAGACCAAGCCTCTCAAAAAGGCAATTATACCCTGCCCGCGCTAAGCGCAACGGGAGTGGAGCTCGCGCCCGCTCTCCTAACCCTCCTCCGCGTCCCCAGGCGGCGGGCTCCTCCTCCCCGCCCGCCCTCCGCTGCTCCACGCAACGCTTCCGCTGTGGCGACGCCTCCGGCAGGGCTGCACACTGCCTCGCACGCACACGTACTCTCGCAATGATTGTATTTAAAATCCAAAATTTCGACCCTGAGAGTAACCCTGAAGGGGCACACGAGTACGAACACAAAGTTTTGCTTGGATACAAAGCCAAAAGCCTGCCAGTGACTTCATCATCCGCACATCCTCTGTGCAACTAGCAGCTGGTCCACCGGCAGTTCTTACTGAGCGTGTGCACAAACGAATGGATGCGCAGAGGGTGCATGACCTGAGGACGACAAGGCTAAGCGTGGAGTGCAGTGTGAAAACGCGCGTTGGGTTCTCAGGGCAAACCTGCTCTGATCATTGTTTCTGTGTCCTCCAAGATGTAATTAGGACTGACTCCAAAATGTAGGTCAGTATGCCCTGGGGTGCGGGTCTATAATCCTGACTCCTCAGGAGGCTGAGACAGGAGGATCACAAGTTTCAGGCCTGCCTGGGCAACTGTCCTGAGACCCTGCCTCAAAATAAAATAAACGGGTGTAGTACCCTGAACTACACCCCCATGTACACACACGTACACACACATACACATTCATACATGTACATAGGTTCACGCACATATATGTATACACATACATACATGTACACATGTGTGCTCTCCTTGGGTTCAAGCCCTAATACCACTACCAAAAAAAAAAAAAAATCAAAGTACAGATGAATAGCTAACAATTTAATGAATTTTATTACCAATAAAGACTCTGAAGGGGATTCAACTTTCAAAGAAATCAGTATTTTCTGTGAGCACCTCACTTTCCTTTGCATTTCCCCATCATTTGATCATCGTTTTTCATCATCACCTCACAATTGCCCAGTTTCTGTCTAATAGTTTATAATCTCCAATCTTAGATGTAAAAGGAGTCTAAATTAATTTGTTAACGGCTATTTACCTTTCCCTCCTATAAGTGAGGAACCTGTCAAAGACTTCCTTATACCTAATTTCTTTCTTTTTTTTTTTTTTTGTACCAGGGATCGAACTCATGACCTTGCGCTTGCCAGACAGGCGCTTATGCCGCTGAGCTAAATCCTCAGCTCTTCTACCTAATTTCAATCAGGATTGTGAGACACACAATTACCAGCTACTATGATTGTCTTCACTGAAAGAACCCTACCACTTACCTTGCTGGAAGTGCTCTAGAACCATCTGCAGGTTGGCTAACGACAGAGCATACTGCTTTACTTGCTCCTGAGAGACCGACAGCTGCAGTGCAGTTTCATCCCTCTGCTTGGAGACCATGTTCAACTGCTCCTGCAGTGACTCTACCTGCACATTGGCTTGATGACTTAAAAAGAAAAAGTCAAATTCAAACTGCTTCTATCTATTAAAATACTTTTACAAGATCACTTCTCTTGCATCTTACTGCATTAAATTCAAGTTTAAGCTAGATTTTAAACTCAAGGCAATCCTCCTGTCAGGCTCCAAAGTGCTCAGATTACAGGTGTGCACCACCACACCTAGCTAGAGATACTGTTAAAAGTTGAAAACATCTTCACTATTCCCCACATTTCTTTTTAAGATGGCAAAATACAACTTAAAATTCATAGCTTAACCATTTTCAGGCAGCCATGTCAGAAGCACTTAGCACATTCACAATGCTGCACATCCTTAAGACCATTCATCTCTAGGGCCTTTCTCACATTGAAACACCATCTCTAGTGTGTAACGATGCCCCCTTGCCCTGGCAACTAGTATTCAACTGTCTGCCCCTACTGATTTCACCTTCTTTGTATTTTACTGCATTAAATTCCAGTTAGACCTCAAAAACATGCAAACATTTCCTCTGATCTTTGTTGTTTCTTTAAATTCAATCATCTTTCCTATACAAGTAACTCTGAACTAATGCTAAACCTTTTAAAGCCAGGAATTAGGCTGACCAACATTAGCAGAGGAAATATTCACAAGCTCCAATATTCATGTACCTAGGTTAAAAGTCTTGGATATAATTTATCATAAAATTTTAAGTTGTAAGGGATCTTTGTGGTCATTTTACCAGCTTCCAGAATAATTAGGAATGGAGTCTATGACACCTCCTTGCTTTTGATACCTGTAATCATAGTGAATTTGCAACTTTCCAAAGGCTGCCCCACTGATGAACTGCTCTGCTTATCTTTTACTATCATATTTTTTTTTCCACCATGAAATACAAAAAACTCTCCCACTACTCCTAATAATTCAGAGACCTCAGAGAGATTTATTTATATAGCATTTACCAGGGTTTACGTCACTGGAATATACCCCTGATGCACTATAATGATGACATCCCAAACACTGCAAAGGTCTTCCTGGGTATTTAATATCCAGCTAAGTTCCTACTCAAGAGCAGCCTACTAACGTTCGCTGTGATCAATTCACTTTGAAGACACTTTACTCAAAAGCACTCTCTTCTGCAAAGAGCTGTAAATTGAGAAGAGAACCTGAGCTTTGCCCCCAAAGTGTCCCTGGGCTTCATCTAATATTGTTGGTTAGCAAATCGAAGCATGATTCAGGGATAAACTGACCTATGACAGTTCTCAAAAGGTTAACAGATTAGGTGTTAGTATTAAATAAGGGCTTAAAACATCACAATCTGCTTTCCTTACTTGTTCTCACAAAACAGAGTTTTACTGTAGTATCTCTAGTATATACTGTGGGAAGTATACAAATGAGAAGCATCATTCTTACACCCTGGAGAGCTTACATTTTACAGGACAGGAGACAGTATATAATAGGTCAATAATTATCTCTACCCTAAAGTAAAATGTAAGTGCTCTCTCAAGATATTATGCAAACCTAAAAGAAAGATACCACAATAGGGCTTGTTTATGGACACTAGGAATAGGGTACTAAATAAAGTACCTTTTGCAAAGAAAATGAAATTAGATGGATAGTGGGATTCACAGAAAAACTGTTAGGGACTGGGCCTGCTCCTCAGGTACAGAAAGGAGATGAAAAGAAAAGGGAGAAGAAAAGTATGAAAATAGTGCCTATAAGCAGCTGTGTGATACAGTCTGCCTGGAAATAAAGCCAGCTTGGAATGCAGCCTGGGATCAAATTATGGAAGACTGATTTTTAAAAAGAAGGGAATTACAAAGTCAGAGCTCTACTTAAGAAAGGTTATTAGCAAGGATAAATGAAAGGGATAGAGACCAGCAACTATTTTAATTAGAGAAAAATAAAGGCCTGAAAATTGCAAGGAAGAATCATGGTACATAATATGACAACCTAAGGATATTTAGCATTTCTGCCAAAATAAAGCATATATATGAATTATCAATGTTCTTTTGTTTTTTGTTTTGGAACTGAGAATTAAACTCAGGACCCTGTGCTTGCCAGGCAGACGCTATGCTGCTGAGCTATACCCTAGCCTCTATACTGTTTTACTTTTTATATCAAAAAATTTTTCATTTTGGGAGCTGGGGATTTAGCTCAGCGGCATAAACACCTGCCTTGCAAGCAGGCAATCGTGAGTTCGATCCCTGGTACCGATAAAAAGGAAAAAGACAAAAAAAAAAAAAAAAAATCTTCATTCTGAGTCAGAAAGTACAACATATCCTGCAAAGTGGTGAGAAGGACTCACCCTAGGTATCTAGCATCTCCTCAGCATCACACACAGAAAAAAACATACAAGATGTGCATATCATTAATACATTTTTCCAAAAAGTAATCTGGCAGTAAAGCCTCAGAAGTTTTAAAGTATCACTTGACCCAAAAGTTCTATTGCTAAAAATTTACACTAAGGGAATAATCTGTCCTCTACAAAAAAAAAATCTCACGACATCATGACAGCTCTCAGTGACTCTGAAAAGTTGAAACACTCTAATTGTTCAGGATTAAATAACCAGGTCAAAGAAATTATGTCAACATATTGTCAAGTGAAATAAATCAGACACATGTGTAAATATTGCATTATTTCTCTGATATGAGAAATTGGAAGTGTAAATAAGAACTAAAATGTGTAACAGATATTGAGATATAGGAAGAAAATGGTCAAATGGGAAGGGAAACTGGGGGAGCAGGAAAGGAAGGGAGGGAAAAGAAAAAATGAGAAAGCAAGGAAAATTGGAAACCACTTTTTAAAAGAAATCTTATTAAAAGAGAAAAAAAGCAAAACAGAAAAAAGTGTAGAAATAATACAGAATTTTTAAAAAACAGTAAGAAATCACTAGTTGATAAATAACATACTGGGAAATAGTTTTTGTAAATAAGAAGGGGAAGACAGGCTGAAGAGAGGAAAGGGGAATGGGGAAAAAGAAGAATCAAGATCTATCATGTACAGGCACAAATTCCCTATTGTGAATGTGATCACTATGTCTACCTACAATGTACCCATAAACTTAATTAAAAAGAAATTATGACAAATCCAAATAATGGTATGCTGTTTAGCCATATTATATTGCAGAATTATATGGCTTAATGTATGCTAATTCATAGTAAGTGACAGAAAATGGGTTACAAGAAACTATTAATACTATGATCTTATTTTTGCTTTTGAAAAGATATATAATGTACATATACAAGAATATCGCATAAAAAGGATTATCTTGGATGAATGAGGCTGTTTTATGTTGTTTTGGTTTGTAGGACTTTTCTGAAGTAAAAAGCATATTTTTTATAACAAAAAACTTTAAAAAACAAAAGTAAAATTCTTTGAGAAAAACAAAACTACAAAATGCTGTGTCTTGGTCGCTCAAAAGTTCTAATAAATCGAGAGTTAATCACTCATCCTCACCAAGGTTCTTACCTTGCTACTTTACTCCCCTCCCCTTTCGCACATACATACATAGTTCAACCTTAGATCATTTCATAAAAAATAAACCCTGTAGTTAAATTAGTTTTTTGGAAGCTGGACATAACTAGTAATCACATTCCTGGTGGCCTGAACCACCAGTGGCACATGCTTGAATGGCCCAGGCCATCCAATGGGACAGTCATGCATGAACCACTCGTGGTTCAGGTTTAGAACTACCCAGTAATGGGCTGGGGATTTAGCTCAGTGGCATAAGCGCCTGCCTTGCAAGCAGGCAGTCGTGAGTTCGATCCCCGGTACCAATAAAAAATGAAAAAGACAAAAAAAAAAAAAAAAAAGAACCATCCAGTAATGAGCAGCAAATTACAGCCCCACTGTGAATGTGTAAAATGAGCCAGAATTCAGGCTGTTCTCCTAAAAGGACAAGTGGCAATTATCAAGGACAGTGCTGAAGAGGCAGAGTTTCTATGCTGGATCTGCTTAAGAGTCACAGGACCAAGTAAGAGAATCCCACACAGTATGTGTTCCTGGATTCAGCCGTAGCTTTAAATCTCTTTACCCTTGATTCTTTCACTGAAAATGCAGAGAAAGATTGTTGTGAAACAACAAACACAAAAAAATGCTGACTGTGACACTCAAGATGTACTCAGTTAAAGTTAATGCAAAAATGGAAAAGTTACCTTGCATTTTCCATTGCATTAGAGGACGAAATTAGCTTTTCCTCCAGTACGGTAACTTTCTTCCTTAGTTTGGCCTCTCTGTCTTCTGCAGCCAAAGCTTCCCGGGTATAAGAATCTTCTGATTCTAAAAGATGGTTACGCAACCTCTCTAGCTCCTGATTTAACCGTAACTCTTTGTCACGTAAGTGCTGAACCTAGGTGGAACACATTTCTTTTATCTTTCTTCTACACAATGCTTCCTCGGCACTTCATCTCCCTGCCTTGCAAACCACTGTATTATCAAATCTTTTCCCATTATTGAAATGTATTAATTGTATACTAATAGCTCGTAAGATACATTTAAGCTAGGAACAAGTGCCCTGAAATAATCTTGAATATTTAGCTCAAAGTATTACTTTGTAGACCTGACTTGCTGTATGGGTAAAAAGACAATGGAATTATGCAAAAGTCCTGGCCTCTACTGTGACTATTCTTTCTGTAAATTGCACTATTATTTCATACAGTATGGGTGAGAACTTTTTCTTTTACAAGCAAAATGTTATGATTTTCACTTTTGAAAACAAATGAAAGGCAATCTAAAAAGCACAATCTTACTAAAGTACATCAGAGGACAAAAAATGAACAAAGAAATGAATTTGTTTTGATAGTCTTTCTAATTATCCTACTTAAAAGTTATTAAATTTACTGTTGGCCCACTGTCATTCCAAAGTGAATACATACCTCATTCTGTAGGGCATTGTTTTCCATTTGTTTCTGTTTCAGGGACAAGGTGACTTGGTCTCTCTCCAGTTGAAATGTAACTGTCTTCTCCTGCATTCCTTTAACTGTATTTAAAAGTTGATTTAACTCCCCAGTCTTGCCCTATTGGAAAGAAGTATCTTTTGCTTTAAAGTAAAATATTCTTTCTTAACAGTACAAAAAGGTATAGATTTTATTTATTAAGGTAATAGTTTAAAATATCTAAAAAGAAAAAATATATCTAAAAAGAGAAGCAATTCCAAGAAACAGAAAATATACTCAAAGTATTTATCAAGAAGGTTACAAAATCTTGAATACCATTCTTAGACCATAGGCTTCTCACAAAGAAAAAAGCAACATGAAATATTCAAATTTCCAAATAGTCTCAGGCTTTGATGTTCATGCAGTCCAGAGGTGAAGATACACCCTAAACCATGCCTTAGGACTCATCCCAAATATTCATTATACCATGATTTCTATTCAGAGGTGTGGTACCCAGAAACACTGATGCTGCATAGAGACCAGCAAGAGACAAGCTCACTCATTCTCCTCACCCTTGCTTGCTCTTTAAGTAGGAAAATGCTTCGTGGAAGTACCCAGACCACTAGAAAGTGACCAAGCAAAATTAAGACAAATCAAGACAATGAGGGCCCAAGACATGACTCTGGTTCTAAACAGTTGCTGGCTGTTTATCCAGCATTAGAAAAGTAAGGTGGTAGGCCTCGTGGCATTTCTTATCAGAGCAACTCTTCCGGTTCTGCTGTGGACTCTGCACAGTTCAAAGCCAATCCTGCCACCAGCCACAGTGCAGGCTCTCCCGTAGCAGAGCTCAGTCCTTCAATCTAATTCACAGCTCATTCCTGGAGCCCACAAGGAACCACTCAAATCTAACTGAAGTTACACAATGAACACCATGCCAGACAGCAAGCATGTGTGCTACTCCTGAAGCAGACTTTGAGAGATCAGCATCATCACTTCATTGCTTGCTATCTTCTAGAACTCGGCAGACCTCAAGTCCTACATGTGCAGCTGAACAGCATCATCTTTCTGTTAGACATAGCCTCTGAGCATCTGTGAGCCTGGCTGCAGGTAGCACAGCCTTTCTCTGCAGCAAATAGCTTGTGGAGCCACTCCTGCAGCGCAGATCACTGGCCGCGCAGATCACTGGCCACGCAGTCACAAGTTTTGATGCTGTGCCTGCCAATTGGAACTGTAGCTACAGGCTCCTGGCCAAAGGTGCTCCAAACTGCTTGCACACATTGAGATGGTCTCAGGTAAGGATGAGAGAAACCCTCAGGGAACAGGAAGCAATGCTGATCCAACCTGCTTTCAGTCCTTTCATGGCAATGAGGAAGCTCTGTCTCTCGCTCCGCTTTGGCAACAGGAATAAGTCTTCAAAGACTATAGCTCATGTTGCCTATGAGTTCCATTCCATCTTTTTTTCTTTTTGCAACCACTATACCACTGAGGCCTGGTCCCCTGGTTCCACACGACCATGTAGATGTCTGATTCACCACTCCCACTGATGAAGGCCTTGGTGCCACTGAGGACATAACAATCTCATTATCGTTCAGCAGAGATCACAAGAGATGCCATACCACTCCTACTTCCTGGTTCAGTGAGGCAGCAGGAAGCAAATTTCTCCTTGGTACAGAGCCCTGAACAAAATGTGTCTGTTCCTCAGCTGCAAAGCTATCACCCATCCAGGCACACATGTGGATGCTTCTGTACGCTGTGGTACTGGTACAGCCTATAGTCAAGGCTTCAAAGATGACAGTCCAAGGTGCCGAGGATATAGCTTAGTGACACAGTGCCTGCCTGGCAAGCACAAGGTCATGAGTGTGTTTCGCAGTCCAAAAAAAAAAAAAAAAAATTGGATATGAAAAGATGACAGTCCAGACTCAGCAGCATCTGTTTGGATGTATGCTACCTCAAAACCTAGCTGGGCTGCCTTCCGCATCTTTTCCACAGGGCTAGTTCCATTGATACAGAAAGCCCTGCACTGATGGCAGGCCTGGGCTTGGGCCCAGGGAGTGCTGTGCGAGCAGCCAAGGTGAGTGTTAAGGTGCCTTAACCCACACCACATCCCACATCGCTCCTGCTTCCCTACTGGTGGCCCTCAGGCCCCGTAGCACCAGCAAGGACCTATACCTGGGTGCCATGGGCTGCAGTGAAAATACATTTCTGTTTGTTTGCCTGTTTGTTTTTGAGACAGTCTCTCACTATGTAGTTCAGGCTGGCCTCGAACTCAGTATGTAGTCCAGACTGGCCTTGAACTTGCAGCAATCCTCTGCCTCAGCCTCCCAAATGCTGGGATTACAGGCGTGCGCCACCATGCCTAGTGTTAAAATATATTTTTAAAAAGACATTCTCTTCATTAAGTAATATATTTTAAAATACAGTTAACTCTATCAAAGTCACAGACACAAGGAAAGACTCTGACAATATCAATCTTGAGGAGCCTAAGGAGGGACATCTAAATATCATCTGGGACCCAAGAGGGTAGCAAGGAACAGGAAAATGACAGTTGGTGAAAGTTAAAGCATTTCAATAAAGGGTGAAATTTAGTAATAAATATACTATAATGACACAAGATGCTAAGAATAAGATAAACTGGGTATGAGGTATGTGAGCACTCTCTCCATAATCTGTGCAACTCTCCTATAAATATAAGTTATTTTAAAAGAAAAGCTTTATAAGAGTACTCATTTTCAGTACTGGGGGTTTGAACACAGGACCTCTGCACTAAGCCACATCTCTATCCCTTTTATTGAGACAGGGTCTCATTAAGTCACTGAGTTGCCAAGGCTGGTCTTGAAATTTTGATCCTCCTGCCTCAGTGTATCTCCATATCCTGGTATTAGAAATTTGCTTCTAATTTGATCTGACTTTGAAACAGGATCTCATTATATTGCTTAGGGTGGCTTTGAATTCACTATGTAGCAAAGGTTGGCTGCAAACTCATGGTGACCCTTCTGCCTCAGTCTTCTAAGTAATGGGATTATAGGTGTGCACTACCACACTTGGTAATAGAAATATATATATATATATATATATATATATATATATATATATATATAAATTTTGTCTTTGTCTTTGTTTGTTTGGCTACAAGGTTTCACTATGCAGTTCGGGCTGGCCTTGAACTCACTTTTTAGCTCAGGCTGACTTGGAATTCACAGTAATCCCCCAGCCTCACCCTCCCTCGAGTGCTGGGATTACAGAAATGCATCAGTATCACCACACCCAGCTAGAAGTATCTTGCCAAACAGTAATAAAAATGTATGCTGAATGCACTCCATATATTAACAAAGCAGAACAAGATGACCCTTCACTGCAAAAGTAAGACCAGGAGGATAACTTGTGACTAGGAATTCAGGGCCAACTTGGGCAAAGTGGTAAGACCCTAGTTTCTATTCTTTTCCGAGACAGTGTCTCACTATGTAGTTCAGACTGACCTTAAACTCACTATGTAGCCTAGGCTGGCCTTCTACCTCAGCCTCCTGAGTGCTGGGATTACAGGCATGCACCACCACGCCCAACTAAGAACCTAGTTCTTAAAAAAGAAAAAAAATGAATACACACACACACACACACACACACACACACACACACACACAATGCAGATAATGAACCCCTCAGGATAAATCAATGAAACTGAAAGAAGTGTATAGTATATTTATTACTAAATTTCACCCTTTATTGAAATGCTTTAACTTTCACCAACTGTCATTTTCCTGTTCCTTGCTACCCTCTTGGGTCCCAGATGATATTTAGATGTCCTTCCTTAGGCTCCTCAAGATTGAGAATTCAAAGCATACTCCTGGATAGGAAGTCAAATATTTTCCAAAGAGTTTTCAGTTAACTTTTTTCATATTACAAAGAAAGAACAAATGCTTGAGAAATTACATAGATTTGAAAATCACTTGAGAACACACACTTCTCCTTTAAAAAAAGATATTACTGATTATATAGATTATCTCTTATCCAAAGTGCTTGGGCCAAAAATATTTTCAATGTCAGATTTTTTTACACTTTCAAACATTTCATTAGACTTTATTGGTTGTCCATCCTAACCTGAAAGTCTAAAATCTATAATATCAGCATTCAAAATTTTTACATTTTGGAATGGGGATACTCAACCACTAAAGCATAAAGATATTCTTAAATTCTATGAAGAAAATTGAAGAAAATGTTTAGTTTATATGACTTTCAAGTAATATACTTAAGAACTGTACATCCTTTTACAAACTCCATTCAGAACATACCTGTTCTTTTTCTTTCAACAGCTGCTCAAAAGCAACAGCCTTCTCTTTCATTGAATGGCATTCAAATTCTTTTTCTCGAAGCATCATAGAAAACTTCATGTTAGTCTCTTGTAATGCCTGGTATTCAGTTTCTTTTGCCCTGGACGTTTCTACAATTTTTTCATTTTCTACTTTTAGTTTAGCAATTTCCATTTCTAGAATTAATACTCTCTCTTTTAGGTTTGTTACTGCCTGCCTCAAAAGCTCATTTTCATTCACTTTGTTAGTGAAATTTTCATTAGAAGAAAGTAACTGATCACTTTTGGCTTTGATTAAGAAATCTTTTTCCTTAAGTAAGTTCTGTAAAACCTCTTGTTTCTCTTTTAGCTGCTTAACTTCTGAATCAGTTCGTTCGTATTCTTTTCTTTCTTGCTCTGAGGTAGCTACAAGTGAATCAGACAATCTGTGATTATTTTCCTGGAGAGTTCTAATGGTTGCATCTTTTTCTTGCAGTGATTTTCTTAGCTTGTCTATCTCTAGTTGAAGCGTCTGAGAAGAATCGCTTGATACAGCAGATGTACTTGGTTTAAGTAAGCCAGAAGACAGATGGGGTGAAATGTTGTCAAGCTTCCCTAAAAGAAGATCCTTTGTACTGCAGAGCTGGCCGATGCTGTGCTGAACTTGCGCCAATTCCTGCCCAAAGTTTTTGAGTTTGGTTTCATTCTGCTCATAACTTTGGATCAGGCCAGTGTAGTCCACCTGTAACTTTGAGTTATTATCACTGTCAATCAAAACTTGCGCCTGAAGCTGGTGAAGTTCTTCCTGAAGCTGGGCTGACTCGTGCTGCATATTTTGTACTGTGGTCATCACTTGCTGCTTCCATTCTTCCATTTTCTTTACTTGCTGCTTTAATTTATCACGTTCCTGCAGGAGCTCCTCAAATTGGTTACTATTAACACCTCCTTCATTATCAGTGCCGGAAGTCTGTAAAACTGCCAATAAAGTCTGACATTTCTGACTTAGTGCATCTATTTCAATGTCTTTTTCTCGAATGATACGAGATAAATTCTGAACAGTTTCTCTAAACATATCTTGGCCACTGCTTTCAAATCTTGTGGACAGTTTCTTATTTTCATCTTGCAATTTAAGGAGGGCTGCTTCTTTGGCAGCAATGATATCTATCATTTTGTGATATTCACTTTTTAGATGGCTATTTTCCCTTGTCTTCTCATCTAGAACAGCAAATAGTTTTCCTTTTTCCACATCGTAGGCCTGTAACTGCTGCTGAAGATAAGCAATGTCCTGGGTATAGGCAGCTGAAGAAATCCTAGCATGTAGAGCCTGTATCTCCAAGTCTTTCTGCTGGATAATCTGGGTGAGTTTACCAACCTCATCTTTGGACAGCTGATCAATCTGTTTAGTTAAAGATATATTCTTTTCATTTAGAAGTTTAATCTCTAGCTCTCGTTCTTTTATTCCTTTCACTAATCTCTCAGTTTCAGCTTTAGATAAATCATGCTTTTCACTTCCATTTTCTATGGTAAGACTCTGAACTTTAGTATCTTGAAAAATATCAGAATTCTCTGTTTGAATATCCTGTCTTTCTTCATCTAACTGGGATTTTATTTGTTCAATTGTTTTTTGTAAGTTCTTAATTTCTTCATCTTTCTCTAAAAAAAGCTGGGTATGTGTGACATTCATCTGCTCATGTTGGTATTTAAACTCATCCATTTCCTTCTTCTGCTCCTGCAGAGACTGAAGTAGTTGCATCTTACTCTGGTTTTGATCTTCAATTATCTTTAGATGATGTTTAATTTCTTCTTCTAGATGGTTTTTGATGATATTCAGCTGAGACACCTCACATTCTAGTTCTGTGACACTTTCGAGGGTTTTAGGCTCAGCCACAGGTAGAGCTCGACTCTGCTGTTCTTTGAGTCGCTCCAGTTCTTCTTGCAGATGATTATTTTCTTCTTTCATAGATCCAAGACTTCTATCCTTTTCCTCTATGGTCTGCCTTAAAATTTCATTTTTTCTTAAGGCTTCAGAACATTTAGCTAATTCCTCCTGTAGCTTTGAACTCTCTTCTTTAAGTTTATCAATAAAAATATCTTTCTCATTTATGACTTGTGTCAGTTGCTTCTGTTTTTCTAAACTTGATGACAAAGCTTCCTTATTTTCTTTATGATCACTAGCCATTTGCTCAATATTCTTTTTAAGTCCTGCTATTTCAAAGTCTTTCTCTCGATGGAGGTTAAGTAGATGCTCACGTTCCAGTTGTAAGGCAGAGGCACTTGCATTTGACAGTTCCTCAACAGTTTGCTTATACTTGTTTGCTTCTTCCAAAAACTCTCTTTGTGCTTCTGCCTGTTCCTTTTCCCTTTTGAGTGTCTCTACAATAATGTTTCTTTCCTGAGAAATCTGTTTATTACTAGCGATAGATTCTTCCAACTGATGCCTGGTATCTTCACATTCTAAAACCAACCTTTCATTTTCCATTTTGAGATCAAAAACAACTTTCTTTAAATTTTCATTGACTTGTTTTGTTTCTGAAAGATTCTGACTTAAGTTTCTAACTTCAGTTTCCCTTTCTTTAAGTACGTCGTCCTTGATATGTCTGCTCGAGGCTTGATTAAGAGACTGAGTTAACTCACACCTGACTCTAGACAGTTCCTCTTCATTTTGTCTGATATGTTCCTGGAGTTGAAAATTCTCCTTCTGGATATTTACATTATTTTTCTGTGCTTTGCTTAATTGATCTACTAAATCTGTTATTTCGTCCTCAAGTTTTTTCTTGGTTAAATACAAATCATTTAAAACCAGTTCATTCTGAGTTAACTTTTCTTTCTGCAGGTCTAACTCTTGACTGATGTTCACTTTGTCCTCTTCTAGCTGATGAGCTCTCTTTATTTCATCATCTAGCTCGTGTTTCAGTTTCTTTATAATGCCATCACCTTCACTTTGTTGTTTTGATAGCTGATCTTTTATCAAAATCACATGCTGAAAGAAAAATTAATTAGCATGGTAATTTCACATTTTTTCATTTTAGCACTCAAAGATCATTTTGTAAATTTCATTCACAAGACTAATCCTCAGATATTTCTAATCTTTAAAAGTAACTTTCTATTGCAACATTACAAAATTACTTACAAATATAGCAAGTCCACCCAATCATTTTAGGAATAAGAATTTCAAGCCAAAGAAAATAAATAATTGATATTATATAATTTCAACTCTTAAACACTAGAGCAAGAATTACCAAACTAAAGCCTGTGGGCCCAAACAGGTCCCCTGGCTATTTTTGCAAATACAACTGTATTGAAACACAGCCAGACTCATTTGTTTACACTTCTCAGCTATAGAGTTGCTCAGCTGCAACTAAGATGATGTGGCCTGCAAAACAAAAACTACTGTACTATCTAGCACAAAGTGTGTTGTCTTGCTGACTGCAACATCAGTGAACAAAAATACTAATGAAATCACACAGTCAAGTTACACATAACATTTGTGCATACTAATCGCCATGCAGCCCACTGACTACGCTGTGCTGCCGTAGACTCACCACCCTGAATGCAGTATTACCTTTGTAGCTTCTTGGTTCTGTTTGTCTAATTCTTCTAACTCAGCTATCAGCATTGCCTTTTCACTGACACTCTCATTCAGTTCCTTTTCCTTTGTCTCCAACATAAATCGTAAGTTGTGCAATTCTGAATCCAAATTCAGGTCTTTCTCAGCTGTACTTTTAATTACTTCATATTCATTGCTCAGTTTTGAGAGTGACATCTGCAGTTCTTCCTTAAATGATCAAGGAAGAAAAAGAAACATCAATTGTCAGCTGAAAAGACACCAGAAGATTAAACACACACCAACAAATGAACTTCGGGTATCCATTCTAAATGGTCTGTACTGAAACATTAGTGAATAATACCCAAGTAATGATACATATGAAATACAACAAATCACAGTCTTCATGTTTGCTTGTACTTGCAGCTTCCAGTGAAAATATTTCTATAACCCGAGGTGTAACAATTGTCTGTTAACCTTCTAGCTCCAACTTCTTCATACAAGACACTTCCACTGGAGAGCGTGTCCTAGGCTACTCACACTGCTGGTGGCCTCTCCACACTCCCACCACACACACTTTTCAGGAGGCTCCAATCGCCCAGTTTTCATCACTTCCAGTCTAACATCCAATAACCAACCAGGAATAATTTAAACAAAAATGAAAAATCAATATTCATTCACTCTAGGGTTTATTTTTGCTAATTAGAAAATCAGAGGCTTTTCCCTCATTTAAGAAATTTGCCTTATTACTTACTTCTGTCAGAACATGAAAATTTCTCTTGATGTAAGAAACTGCCTTCCTCCCTTCCTTTAACTTCTGAGAACAGCTAAGCCTCCCAGTCTCAGAGCTGACATTCCAACAGGGACCTGTACACGCAGTATAGGGTCTACTTCTCAGTGTTTATATTTAATGGCTTGCTCCAAATTCCCACAAGTGGACAGTTTTCTGCGTTTTAACACTGTTTCAACATCTGTTATAATGTTGGTGATAAAGTATACATCACCATAAAGCCTTTCATTGACAAAGATTTTTAAAATTTAAAACTTTTATGTAATCCACTTCAAGAGTCTCAAATTTCTTCAAATAATCCAGTACGTTTGCTTAATAAAAATGTGTTCAATGAATGTATTTCTAGAATCTGTCATCTTGTGTTGTATGCATGGAACAAAGTCATCAAAGGAACCAGATCTATCTATCTCTCATCAACAAAAAGCAAAGATTTTTCTTTCCTGAGGAAACAGACTTTATGTGGCCCTTCTCTAGTCCCTCAGCTCAGGGAATAATTCCTTTTTGATCTGTATGATTGCCTCATTCATTCATTGCTACTGTTTTTTATCCTAAGCAGTTTATATCCATTGTTTGGTTTATTAGGAAACTGAAACTAAGATATATACAGTGCATGCCAATAAAAATGTCATCAGTAAAAACATAAAACACAATAAAAAAGATCAAGAAAAACTGTATTAGAACATCCACATTGGGCTGGGGATTTAGTTCAGTGGTGTAAGTGTCTGCTTGGCAAACGCGAGGTCTTAAATTCAATCCCAGGTACAAAAAAAAAAAAAAGAAAGAAAAGAAAATATGCATCACAATTTTCATTTCCTTTTAACTCATGAGTTTGTTCTGAAATACATTTGAAAGCTGGAAATAACCTTCTCTAAAGTTATCACTTCATTAAGGGAAACACAAAGGTTTTTCTCAAGAGGATCTTAAAAAAAAAAATATATATATATATATACTTTTGGCACTCTTAAGCAGAAAGCAGACCTATGACAAATGCAATTCAGAGAAGTTACAGGACTAATAATAAACATCAAAAGACAGGAGAAACAGCTATCAAAAATAGCTATAGAATCCAAAAATAACAGGGATGGAGGGAATGAGAAAGCTAAAAGAAACAAAATGCAATAAGTATATATATCAATTCCCTATGATGAATTTATTCACTAGGTATCACAAACACATTAATAAAAAAACAAAGAAAAAAAAGAATCCAAAAATAACCTGGAGTCAGGCATGGCAGCACACAATGTAATCCAGCAATAGAAGGCTTAGGCGGGAGGACAAGTTCGAGCTCAAGGCCAACCTGGGCTACAAAATGAGTTCAAAGCCGGCCTGAACTGCATAGTGAAACCCTGTCTGAAAAAGAGAAGAGGCAAAAGACCAAAAAAAAAAAAAAAAGCAAAAAAAATCATGGAAAGCTTGCGGGACCTACTAGATATATGCAGAAAGTTTTGCAAATTACAAAGTACAGCTAGGCGATTTAGATAAAGACCAGAATACAAAAGGAGTAGAATTGAAAGAGATACATATAAGATAGTAATAGAAAAATGACTGGGAAACATGGCCTTTAGTGGGCAAAAACAGTGGTGTCAAGTACCCCAGAACGTATAGGACACTACACAAAATTTAAGAATTTTGTCACTTAAATATTACCTATATACTCATATGGGAAGCTGTTGAAAATAAAAAATTAGGATATATAGCAGCAATATGCACAGTACACTGACATTTGTACTTCTTTAAAGTAATATATAAGTATAATCATAACAGTATTCACACAGTCTACAAAGACATACTAGAAATTGGTAACAGATTGTCTCAGGAAAAGAGATCAAGCAACAGGGACACAAAAGACATTCTACCTGAACCACTTTACATTCTTCTGGAGGTATGACTGAATATACCTATCAGCATTATTACACAAAAATCAAGAATCAAATTGAGTTGAAACAATGACTGCTAACTTAATACCAGTTTTTAATTGTCCCATATTCAAGCACCCGTCGTACACAAATTTATCCCAACCTAAAACACCACTGTAGAATCCCATTCCACCCTTTGCTGTCAGTACATACACATATACTCCATTCCTACCGTTATCTATCTGTATCCCTCACCAACAAGAAATTGCTACGTACCACGACAGATATATTTGGGCATGATAGCAGCATCTACACCCCAGACCTCCAGACCCACCTGTGTGTGCTGCTATACATGGGACTTCACAGGAACTACAACAGGGCTTTAGCTATCTTTTCTACTCACAGGAAAGATATGCGCCTCATAGCTTATCTGTACACGTATACTCTGGCCAATCTCTCATACTCTGAACCTTGACCGACAAGTGTCAATGAGATCAGCTTTGTCCTGGGGACTCTGTAACAACACCTTCCACTTTGATACAAACTAGCCCTTAGCTGTGAGATGTAACACAAACCCCATTTTAATTCTGTCCCCATTTTTATAGCACCCACCTTTTCTTGACTCAACAATGACTTTTCTGTTTCTAAGACTTCAACACGCATTCTAAGTTTCACATTGTCTTCAGCAAGATTATTATCCTGCAAATGTTAAAGCAACGTTTTCAGAAAAGAAATTTCCAGTTGAAAAAACAGCAGGCTAGCTATAGAACTGTGCATTTCTACTCAGTGTTTCTTCAGTGATACGCAAAAATTCGAATAGTGTGACATTGGACCATCTCGACCCAGACACTCATTTCAGACACACATATATATAGGATTAACCTATTTGAAAAACTACAAAAAATATAAAAGAACTAGCAATTGCTAGAAAAAGAAGCAAATCTCTGAATTCTATAAAGAAAGTAGAAACACATTCACTTTGGTATGGGACGTGTTTCCATTGTCCCTACAGATGCAATATTTGTCAAACTAATCTCAAGAAGGTATACATGTTTTTAAGTTATACAAGTTTTCAACATATATTGATTTTATAGTGCAAAAACAGTTTATGTTTGTTAATACTCAGCAAATAAGATCACTAAAATGAAAGTTCTTGGGGTAGGTTCACATGTGTTTTTAAGAAAAAACAAAAAATAATCACAGTAAATCAAAACACATTTTCCTAGTTAATCAATGCCAGAACCTTTCTTTTATAACTTGAGTTTACCTGGTTCAAACTACTCAGTTTCATTAATTCATTCTCAGCATCTGTAAAAACAGTAGATGAACCGACATTAAAATATAGAAAACCTTGATGTGTACTTGCTGTTTAAGTGCAACCCCATTAAAATCACGTATATTTCTAAGCACAATTGGCAAGAATTAATAGTTTTAAGAGAAATATATTTTGTCATTTTGTATTTCTGGTTTCAAAGAAATGATAATGCAAATGCCAGTTAAAAACCATGTTAAAATCCAACTCTGTAGAAGAGTGAGAACAAATTATAACCGAATGAGATTATTGCTTTAATAAAAATATAGATATATTTCAAAATGAGTTCATCAGCTTGGATGGCTGGAGGTACTATAAGGTCTAAGATTAGACAAGAAAACAAATTCTAAAAAGCAATGATTATATGTTTATACCACAACAATACAATAATCTCTCAGTTAACTAAAGTGATTTAGATATCAATCCATTACAGATAGATCCATAAATAGAAGGGGTTTTGGAAAAGGAACAGAATAAACTTAGCTGAAATAACTCATTTCACATTCCCTCAGGAAACAGTGACCACTTACCAATGAACCCGCTGTCAAAGAGCTTACAACTCGGAGAGGAAGAAAAACAAGACAAGACATGATGGCAACACAGTGCAGTCCAGCAAACACAAGGTACCATGAGAACAAAACGGCAAACATGGAGTCCAGACTGTGGCAGCAAGTGAAGCAGAGAAATGGCAGCACAGGTATCTTCCCGCAAAGGGAACACTGCACCCACACTGAGTCAATACAGCTTGCTAAAGGAACCATACGGCTATTCCCCAGAGAGAAGGCAGCCAGTACAATGGGGCAGAGCCAGGAGACAACACTGGCCTAAGGAAGTACACAGAGCTCAACATGGCCAAAGCCTCAGGATGGTAGAAGAATGAATACAAACTGAAGAGGCAGAGACGGACCAGGCATAAAGGATATTATTACATGTCTAACCGCATACACTTAAGACTTCTTGAAGCTCCCAGCAGGCCTCAACATAATAAGAGCAGGGGAGTGACCTGCTTGCTCGGTGTTTCAGAAAATTTATTCCGCCTGTAGAATATTTTCAAAAAATGGCTTGAAGAAGGAATCATAGAAAGAAGAGAATAAAAACAGCTAACACTTTTCTAATACTTGTTATGGGCCAGACATCATCCTAAAAAGAACTTAGCAATGAAAACATTGAGGCAGAGATATAAACTAAATCCCCAAAGCCAGCTCAGCTATTTGGTGACTGAGCTGAATTCCAGTCCAGTCTTGCTCTTAACTGCTGTCCTATTTTCCATTAAGAGATCTGCCACAGTTAACAAAAGAGCAATTATAACTGACTGAAGGATTCTGTGGTAACGGAAATGGAAGAGGGAAAGGGATACAAGAGTAGTTGTTTTTAAAGCAAATATATTTAAAGAAATACTCAACAGGATACGTACATTTGTTTTATAAAAGAGCAGAGTTACTAGAACTTAAGCCAAATGAGAAGCATGTCCAGAACCCACTGTACTGCCTTCCCTTGGCCCACATGGCAGCTCTAGGAGAGAAGCCCCTGTGAGAAACCGTGTCCCAGAAGACACAAATCCTGAAACATCACTCAAGGAGAGCCAAGCAACTTGCTCTGTGCCAACTCTGGTAGTCTGCCTTGAGAGACTAGTAAACCGTACTAGGCTGGGAAAGAGAGAAGGGAAGAGATTTTATTTTGAGACTTAGTCTGAAAATCCATATGATTTGTGGAGAGCAGGCCATTCAAACCAGACCATCCAGAAGCTCATGATAAACAACTGGATAGGAGATAAAGCTGTGGAGAGATCTCAAGTACACAAAATTCCCACAGAATGAATGAGTTCACAAAGGTTGGAATTTATACTGTAAGAGGACATAGTGCAAAATGCACAGCGAAACAGCTCCTATTATGTTTTCCTGGTGTGAATGAATACTGGAGTTTTGTCTACTTCCCTCAATACTTATTTTCTTAACCTCAGAATAATGGTAGAATAACTAAATATTCTGAACATGGAAAATGGTGGAAGACCTACTATAGACCTACTTATTGCTTAAGTCTTTGCTTTGATACAGGTGATCATTTCAAAAGGTAACCAATCCACTCTTAAAGATGAAATGTTGCATTCTCTACTGGGAGACTCCGGCTGGGCCCAGATGGGTACAGAAAGTATTCAATTCCATACAGAGTAAAGCAACAGACCCACACTTGCCCACAACAATGTCTATGGACATAAGTATTTCTCAGAAATCAACATGGCTTCTTTTTGTCTGTTTGTTTTTATATCTGGATGCAAGGTCTCACTATGCAGTTCAGGTTGGCCTTGAATTCACTATATAGTCAAGACTGGCCTCAACTCATCATGATCCCCTTCTTAAGCCTCTCCGGTGCTGCAATTACAGGTATCCGCCACTGTGCCCAGTTAAATCTACATGGTTTCTTACATCACTGACTTCCATATAAATACCTAAAGAATAAACAAGAGACGCTGAGAGACACCTAACCAATACTTAATCTTTTAGTAGAAAATTCGATTTGTGATCCACTAACTATGAACTGAATCCAAACCAAACAATACTAATCAAATTATAGTCATTTTTACAAATACTCCATTTCACGAAGTATTCAACAATTCAATTGTATGCCTCTTAAAACTCAGTGAAATACCAATCTGAAAAAAGTTCCAAATATTTTATACCAGACAGTACTTGTTGTGGTCTAAATACTTCTTCCGTGGGGGAACTCTGTGTAAGAACTCTTTCCTTTTCTTTTGCAGTATCACTTTGCTTCATGGCATAAGTCTTCAATTCCAGTTTCAAGTTTTCACACTGTTCAATTATTTGTCTCTTTTCCATAGTTAGCTGTTCTTGTTGTCTGCTCAAAATGTCTCTGTCATTTTCTGCAGAAGATAATTTTTTATTCATGTCTTTTATTTTGTCCTCAAGCTCTTCAATTTTTTTTGTAGATTCCACTTTTTCAGTTTGTAGAACCTGAATGGTTTTCTGTAATTCATACATCTTAGAGTTATCAGTTACTGAAACTCCTGAGCCACCTAGAACAAAAACATAAAGGATGTTGGGGCTGGGGATTTAGCTCAGCGGCATAAGTGCCTGCCTTGCAAGCAGGCAGCCGTGAGTTCAATCCCTGGTACCGATAAAAACGAAAAAGACAAAAAAAAAAAAACAAAAACATAAAGGATGTCAAATCTTAAGTACCAAGAACTAAATATCTCCCTGAATACAACTATCAGATTTAAGGGTTCAGAATTTGGAAAGTTTATAAAGAAACGTTAAATTGGTTAATGAAGTTGAACTAAGCATTTTTTTTTTTAACAGTCGCAAAGTTTTATTAAAGGTAAGAAAAGAAGTAGGCTCTGTATTGAGTCTGGGCCAAGTAACAGTAGGAAAACAAGTCCACCCTACAGAATGAGGGCAGGCAGAGAACACAGTGACCCAAGCACTTTCAAAGACATATTTAAATCAACTAATAAAAATCTATGTATCTGAATTTGAAAGTAAAAACAACTCTAATCCTTTATTACCAAACTATCCCCACTAAACCATGCAAACTCATCAATTTCTTTCTTGTTTGCAACAAGAGCAGGACTTTTCCATTTCAATCTTGAAAGTAGTAGTGACGATGGAAATTTCTGGCAAATGAGCAAAATTAGTCATTCCCTCATTATTTAGAACTTGGTCTACACCTACACCAATGTTCTGGTCTTAGAGAGATAAATTTGTCACTTAATTACATCATCAATTTTACGAAACTGAGAAGACTAACAACCTTGCTGTAACAGATTTTCAAGTTCTTCAATTCGTTCTTCATAGCTGCTTAATTCCTCTCGATGTCGATGACATATGTCCGTCAGCTTTTGTTGATGTGCATTCTGTAATACTGACATTTCATGTTGATGGTCATCAATTTCCTGGCTTCGGCTCTGTTTCAGTTCCTGAAAAATTAAGTTAACCACATTTATGGTAACAAATTTAGGTAACCTGTTTATTTCACCAAAAACTTACACTATTAAATTTAATTATCTGAAAAGAATTTAAATACAGTTCCCAAATTAAGACAATTCTGAACGAATTCACTTGTTCCTTACTCTTCAGAAATGGTTTTTCTAGCAGCCTCAGTGTTGCAAGACTGTACTCCCAGCACTGTGCATCGCTGGGGAAGAAGGATCACAAATTCAACTGGCAATGTAGTGATTTAGTAAGACCCTGACTAAAATAACGAAAGGGTTAGTAGGCTACAGCCCATTATGAAACTTTGAATTCAACCTCCAGTACCACACACACACAAATGTTTCTACTTTTAATGATAACACTGACAGGGAAATATTATAACAAAAGATGGGGGGATATCTTTTTCTCAGTCTCTATGTCTATGCCCTTGTCCTATTCCTAAAAACGTTATTCCGGCAATATCAGAAGGCAGTCTGTACGTATTGTGTAACTACCACTTTTCTCTTGCTCAGCCTTTCCTACTGTCAGTCTCAATGGAGCTCCCAACCTGTGGGCCACAATGCCTGGCTACCAAAATTGAGATGAGCCATGTATCTCCAGACCTCGACAGGAAACAGGATGAAAACTGCATCTCCTAAGTCTACTGACGGTGGCCGGTAGATTCCTCATGCTGGCACATGCCTGTGTTTCCTAACACCAGAATGCTTAATTCTTTCTTCAGTCCTATAGTCAGACACCCGGTCCTTCATGAAAAACTCCTCTGCTTTACTTAGCAGTAGATGGTTTTTGTTGCTTGCAACCAAGAATCCTACTTGATAACAGTTGCTATTTTCTGAAATGGCAAGTCAATTATTTAATAATGTGCCAGAACTAAGCTAAAAGCTCAAGACAGTCCCTACAAGGCAGCCATGATGATGTTTACTTTTGCTAAAGTAGCACAGCTGGTAGGTAAACAGTGTAGCCAGGATTAAGCCACGGTCTGACAGGGGGACTTACCAACATTAGTAGTATAATAATAGTAAATCCAAAAACTAAAGCTAAAAACAATGCATCTGATCATAATTTCAATAACATATGGAACTAAGATTCTTCTTAAAAGAAGCATGACAGAAACTAGCAAAATTCTACCAGTAAGGTAAAACAGTTACTACAGTGAATAATATTTATATTTTATCAATATTCTTTAACCCTAAAACTTGAAATGCTATTGGAATTTTTTTAATAAAGGTAATTTTATGAGGTACAATGGAGACATATTCTACCAAATGATTTTAGAGAGATATTTTAATTGATTGATTTATTTAAAATTTTCACAGTCCTGGGGAGTACTTTAGCACTGAGATATATCAGACTTATTTTATTTTGAGGTGAGGTCTTGCTAATTTGCCCAGGCTGATCTCAAACTCGCAATCCTTCTGCCCTGGCATCCCAAACAGCTGAGATTATAGTCATGGGACACCCAGCAAAATATTTTTATGTATCTTATTTCTCATAGAGAATAATCATGATTTAAAATAGTTAAAAACTGAGCATGAGAATGCATATAGTCTTTCATAGCTGAGACTTCTAAATTCAACCTATCTTTCATTTTAATATACAGATGTTTAGATACACAGCAATCATTGGCAATCAAAATTTGACTTACCTTAATAACATTTTGCAGTTTGCAGATTTCACTTTGATCAGAGCTGTAAGTTCCTTGTGTCTTATGGGTTAAAAAAGACAATTAGAAAGTAATTGCACCAATTTTCATGTTAAAAACTCACAAACATTAAAATCTACTTTTCAAAAACGGGATGTTTCTCAGATTCTCATTAAAGAATACCAAGCACTTTTTAAAGAAACCTAGTCCATTACAGAGTAATACACAATAAAAAAGATGACCTAGTCAAGAATTTGCTAATTGGAGAAATAACGTTGTATAAAATAAAGGCAGAGAAGAGGAGAACAGAGCTCCAGAGATCCAGCCATGGAGGGACTCAGGCAGCTTATTCGCCCGCCCTCTTGGTAAGCGTCTGCAGCTTGGGCCTGGAGAAGAACCATTACCTGTGAGCCTACTGCCACACGAGCTGAAAATCAAGCACCCTTCTCCCACCTGCCCGCTCCCCGCTTAGCTACTGGGGATAGATATTTCAACATCTCTGGGGAGGATGACCATATGCAGTAAAACAAATACGGGGATTTCCTTCTATCTGCTGTTTGAAGGCAAAGGTTGTTTTCACTGTTTTGTTATGTTTCTTTTGCTCTATTCAGTATTCTCAATTGGTTTTACAATGTTCTATTTTTGGTTTGATTTTACAACATGTAACTGACTGGACAGCTATTGTTAAGTTAAAGAGATACACCATAGTACTTATTACTACTATCCCAATATCCTACTGTGAAATCCTGTACCAATTTCACTGCATTGTCTCGATTGGCTTTGTTCTGTCTTGTGCTATTGCATTTTTACTACTTTCAAAATTAAAAAAAAAATACATGTTGAGACTCATGCATGTGTAGAATCTATAAACAGTTTATGAGAACTGATCTTATGACAACTGATGAAATGAACAGATACTTTGAAGAAAAGGAGACACTAAAATAGCCAGTGCTGATCCTGGTGTGTCATAATGTGAAACCCAGCGATAGTGTTATTCTTTGTTCAGAGTGATATTAACCTGCTTGGGTTTATTCAAAGTCAACATAATTGAAGATACGGGTAACTGCATATATGTTTAAGTGTATAGGATTGATAACCATATTTCTAAGTTTTTGTTGGATAGTTGAACAGAACTGATTGCAATCTCACTGTTTGAATCCCCACTTTATATGCTCCACTTTAGTATCTTAAACAACTACTTGTAAGAAGACAATCTGTAATCATCAACTAGTGATTTCTTACCGTTTATTTTTTCTTTGAAATTATGTATTATTTCTACCCGTTTTCTGTTTTTTTCAGTCTTTCTTTAAATTCAGTTTTAAAAAGAAGACACTACAGTACCCAGTGCTGATCACAGAGTGTCATGATGTGAAATTCAGCAATACTATTATTCTTTGTTCAGAATAATTTTAACCTGCTTTAGTTTGTTTAATCTAAACATAAATGAAGATACGGATAACTGCATGTATGTTTAAATGTATAGGATTGACAATCATGTTACTAAGTTTTTGTTGGACAGTTGATTAGAACTTTTTGCAGTCTCTCTGTTTCAATTCCCACTTTACATGTTCCATTTTTGTACCTTGAACAACTATTTGTAAAATGACAACATCAACTAGTGATTTCTTACTGTTTTTTTTTCTCTGAACGTATGTACTATTTCTACCTATTTTCTGTTTTGTTTAATTTTTCTTTAGATAAAAATTTAAAAAAAAAGATAAAGGCAGAAAAAGAGAATATTTTACTTATATTAACAAAATGTAAACAGGATGATAAGCAGTTTAAAGAAAATTTCTACAATAGGTTATCCAATATTAACACTGAAAAATTGTTTTTGAAATTATTTTGAAAAGGTCTCTATCTCTTCCTTAATATAGAATAATCTTTGGTTTGACAAGAAAATAAAAGGAATTTGGATTCTCTTCTTCTTCTTCTTCAGAGCTGTATGTTGTTCATTTATCCTTTAAAAATATTTTAACTGTCACCAAATAACTATGTATTAAGGGAATAATTAACATTATCATCTCAAATATTTATCACTTCTTTGTGGCAAGAACATCCAAAGTTCTTTCTTCTATTTTGAAGTACACACCATTATCAATGGTTACCTTATTGTATAAAAGACCAGAACTAATTTTATACCACTGACCAAACTGCCTAGCTCCTCTGTACTACACACCCACTCCTCTAAAAAGCACTCACTTAACATTATTAACAATTACTAGATAACACATTAATGAGTCAATGACCTGAAAGACAAAATATAGTACAATGGAAAGAACACAAGATTTGGAGTCAAAAAATATATATTTAGTGCCAGGCGTGGTGGCACATGCCTATAATCCCAGCACTAGGGAGGCTGAGGCAGGAGGGTCGTTGCAAGTTTGAGACCAGCCTGGGCTACAAAGTGAGCTCGAAGCCAGCCTGAACTACATAGTGAAATCGTTGTCTCAAAAAGAAAAAACAAAACAAAATGAAATGAAAGAAATGTACTTGACTCATAATTTTAATCACTAAGACAATGAGTATATTATTCTTGGCAATAACTAAAATAGAGGTAATGAATACTTTACATAGTTACTAAAAATAATATATATCTACATATATAAATAATTTTCATTGTGACTAGCTAGAAAATTAAGGCCCCTACAAAGTCCCAATTATGCTTTTTTCACCTTTACATTTCAATACAGGTCTGTCACAAACTAGGCACTCATGATGTGCTAAAGTGAAAATACAAAAATCCTGTATCTTCCCTTAGGATTTTAAGAGTAAAATCCAACCTTAGCAACTTTTCTTGAAATATGTGGCTCCTATGAGCAGATCACCTGGGAGTATTTGTTTGTTTGAATGCAGTTTCTAAGGTTCTAAAATAGACTCTGAAATCAAAATCTCTGAAGGTGGGACATGGAAACTACAATCCTGTCAAGTTCTCCAGGTCTCTTCCAATGAAGTGAAGAGTCACAGCTTTTTTGGTGACAAGCTGGACAGACACCCTCTGTCTATTTTGGACACTAGGAATGTCTAACAATGTTGGAGATAAGGAGGTAATTTTAACTGGTAAGATTTGTCCTTTCCATAAAATATATTCACAAAATGAGAGAAAGTATCTTACATATATACTTTTGCTTCTTTCTTGTTCTGATGAAGAAACCCAAATGAACAACGTACCAATTTATTCCAAGTCTCATGTCTACCAACAAATTCCAGAATACCACATAAAGAAATCTAATATGTATGAATAAAAATGTTCCTTGGAAGAAAGCTTAGAGCCCAAAATACAAAGTATTTAATTCCTAATGCATGCGAACCAACAAAAAATAGTTTAACACATTTTATAGTATCAGTCCCCAGATTTTCACTGTACACATCACTAACACTAACAAAACCGCAGCCCACATCCAGGGAAGCCGCATCACACACAGCACCTGGGAGCCTTGGTGTCCCCACCAGAGAAGACTCGGAGTTTCTAGGAGAAGAGGAGATGGCTAAAAACGACTTGGTAGCTTTAAATGTTTTTCAAAACGTTTCCTCAAACATTGTACAGAAAGGGAAACTGAAGCCGAGAGAAAGGCAACCCACAAAACCGTTTCACCACTGGCTGAATCGCAAGCGCAATGCAGGCTTCTATTTCCTGGTCTAGGAGCATATCCCATACCAAACACTCTACATGTAGCTTCCTGGATAGCACCCCTATTTTTACCTACGTCAAGTTTTTAAAACTCATCCAAATTGACCTACCTGGGCAACCCGCCTCCAGTGGCCAACCTCAGATTCAAGTCTTGAGACTTCATTGGACAATCTGTTTATTTCCTGTTGTGATGAAAGCAGGTCACCAAAGTCCATGTCATCAGCATACATGGCCGAAGCACCGTGATGGATCGCATAGCTGATGGAGGATGATGCAGTGGGTGCTGCTACCCCGCCGGCCCCTGCAGGCACTGCCTGAGCAGCTGGCTGCAGCTTCAGCAGCTCGTCCTGCAGTGCGCTCTGTCTTGCTTTAAGATGGCTGATCTCTACCTATATATTTATAATTTAGAGAAAAGACTTTAAAAAAAAATTGACCTCTTTATAGATCCCTAATATTAAATAGTACAATGATGTATCTAAGATTATCCAGCAACAATATGCTAGATAATATAATATGCTAGTTACTAAGTTAATCCATATCTTCCGTAACATCCTAACTTTAAGATATCCTAAAAAAAAAAAAAAAATACCACAGTTAAAGCACAAATGTTTCAAACAGTATAAAGATCAAGATTTCACTAATAAGTTAGCTAAAGCTTTAAAGTTCTCAGATTGGCTTTGCTCCTATAGTCTAAAAGGCAAGGTGGAGAAAACCATGAAGTACTGGGCTCTAAACTGCAGAAACAGAAAAACCACCCATTCAAAGAAACAGAGAACTTGTTTTTCCTGTTTTTAGAATCTTATTTCCTTTCTTTCTTTAGACATGATTTTTTCTTTCCTCTTTATTCTTCACTGGTTTACAGAGGCTTGGGGTATTTTTTTTTCTTTCCTACTTTTTTTTTTAACTCCAGCCATCTGTTAATCCTTTCTTAACCATTCTCCTTGTTCTTTGTTTTCTTTTTTTTTGTTGTTGTTTTGTTTTTTTCTGTTATCTTTTATTTCCCATTTAGAAATTAGATAAGTTTTTCTATCCTTAATCTAATTCTACAAATACCCTTCTACTCAATAAGATCCTTTGATTGGCCAGGCGTAGTGGCACAAGGTTTGTACCTTGTAATCCCAGCACTCAGGTGGCAGAGGCAGGAGGATTGCTGAGCTCGAGGCCAGTCTGGGCTGTAGTGACAGCCTCTCTCATTTCCTGTCCAGCTTCTCATCTCCTATTGTTTATTTTTCAAATTTTTCCTCTACTATTCTTCTGTTCCCAACCTCTAGATTTACCTATATATGAATTACCAAAGCTAAACCAAGAAGATAAAATTCTGAATATGCCAGGTATGGTGGTCATGTGTGTAATCCCAGCACTCAGAAGGCTGAGGCAGGAGGATTGTTATGAGTTGAAGGTCACCCTGGGGTATATAGTGAGTTCAAGATCAGCCTGAATTACATAATGAGATCGTGTCTCAACAAAAATACAAACAAAATATCCTGGATTCTCCAATATCAGACAATGAAATTGAAGGGAAAATATTATCAAGTAAAAAAAGCTCAGGTCCCAATAGATTCAAGAACTTTACAGAAGATCTAATGCCAACATTCCTCAAACTCTTTAACAAATTGAAAGGAAAGAAGCAGCACTTGGGAGACTGAGGCAGGAGGATCACCTAGAGCTGAGGCCTAGAATAGCAAAAGCAATCCTGGGCAATAAGAGCAAGGCAGGAGACATCACAAGCCCAGACTTCAAGTTATACTACAAATATTCCTCATTTAATGAGCTGTTTAACAACTGTTTAGACTTACAACACATCTTTTTTTGTGTGCATTTTTGTACATCTTGTTTACAGAGCCTCAGTGTCTTTTTTGTACAGTCTACCTTGTTTATGCAATATGCTAACTCTGCTGATCATACTGTATAGTACTGTAGTTTCATGTTTTACTGTACCTTACAATACTGCATTAAGAGTTATGCAAATAAAAGCAAAGTTATGGAGTTTTCTTTGACCATTTCTTTGTTCTGAATATGTATTATAACCTACATACTACATACAATTCCTCAGTTAGCAACCAATTCAGTTAGCAACCTAGGAGCAGGAATGGAACTTGGTCATTAAATAAGTAACTCAATGGATCAAAACAGAGCATGTAGAGCCAAGTCCAGGCATCGTCAGCTACCTTATTTTTCACAAGGGGGCCGAAAACTTACACTGGAGGAAAAATAGTTTCTCTAACAAACAGTGATGGGAAAACTCATTGTCTTCATAAAGATTGAACCTAAACCTATATCTCTTACCATGTATTATGTAAACTAAAATTAAAACTGATCAAAGATGTAAGTATTAAAACAGAAACCTACTGAAAGATAAAATAGACAAAGTCTTGAAAGCAAGACAAGGCAAGGACCTAGGCATAGACAAGGACTTTTTGAATAGAAGAAACCCAATGGTATGATCAAGAATCAACAAATGGGATCATAGCAAATTAAAAAGCTTCACAGCAAAAGAAGCAACCAACAGAGTACAGAGACAACCTCCAGAATGGAAAAAAATCTTGTCAGCCACTCCATAGAGGACTAATACATAGAATAAATATAGCACTCAAAAAAATCCACTCCTTTGTTTTGACTGATTTTCCTCTATTCTGTTATGCTAGATAGTACCAAGTTTGAAAGTCTAGGCAACAACTATGAAGACAATAAGATTCATTGTGACGCCCATTCTGGTTGACTATTATCTTCTTTTGAAGTCCTCTAATGTCTCCAATGTTTTGGTTTTATTGGTCTTATTCTTTACTGTTTTGTTCATTTTATTATAACTGATGATATAGGCAATTCTTCTTAAGATAGCAAGAGGCATTATAGTAACCATTGTTGATCACCTTATATTTTGTTTTTACATTATGTATTATGTCCATCCTTTTGATTTGACTGACTCTGTCCTGGTATGTCACATTTGGTTTTACTTTCTTCAAAAAAAAGTAGTAAGAACTGTGGGAGTAATAAAACCCAAAATGTGTAATTGTCATTGTACAAAAGACAGGAAAAGAAAGTTCTCTAAAAGATATAACTGCATATATATTTAAGTGTATAAGATAGATAACCATATTACTGAGTTTTGTTGGATTATTGAACAAAACTGTTTGCAGTCTCACTGTTTGAAAGTCCCCTCTATATGCTTTAATTTTGTAACTTCAACAACTATTTCTAAGATGACAATATGTAATTAACTAGCGATTTCCTACTGTTTATTTTTTCTGAAAGTCTGTATAACTTGTACCCTTTTTCTGTTTTTTTTTTCTTTTTTCTCCTTAAATTAAAAAAAAAAAAATTTAGATTCCTTGACAACAAACGACCACCCAAAAAAATGGGCAACTGAAATGAACAGCTTCTCAAAAGTACTACAAATGGTAAATAAGTACATGAAATGTTCAACATCACTGGTCACTAGAGAAATGCAAATTAAAATAACACTGAGATTCTATCTTACTCCAGAAAGAATGGCTATCATTAAGAAATCAAAAACTATTACTACTAGTGAGACTGCAGGGAAAATGGAACCCTTCTACACTGCTGGTGGGAATGTAAACTAGTACAGTCATTATGGGAGTCACCTGAAGACTGGTCAAGAATCTAAAACTAAAACTGAAACATTTGACCAGCACATTTCACAATAGCTAAATCTTGGAAGCAGCCTGTATATGCATCGCAGATGACTGAATAAAGGACATGTGGCATTTATTCACAATGCCATAATAAAGGATAAGTTGGAGCCATTTGTAGGAAAATGGATGTGTCTTGAGATCATAACGTTAAGTAACTCAAACACACAAGCTTAAATACTGGGTGGTTTCTTTTATATAAGAAACCCAAATTAAATAAAGAACAAAATAAGATATAGATAATAGGAAATTAAAGAATGTTTCCCAGAAGAGTTCTTCAATTATTAATCCAAACATTCCGTTTCTGCATTTTGTGATGTTTATAATATTTGACAGCTATTTAAAAATGTAGGGGCAAAGTCAGCACCTCCCAAGAATTTACCACACTGGGACTGAGAGGATCCAACAAGAAGCCAACCAGCCAGCCCTTCTGGTAAGCCATACAAGCCATGTGGCTTCTAGGAGAAAAGTCAGTGTCTCTCGTGAGCCTATCCCACCCCTATGTCTAGTCATCCTGTGTCTGTTCCCCTCCCCCCAACAAGCAACTCGCTGGTTTGGAGCAAAGGCTGAGTTGATAGCAATAAGGTACATAAAGCAACTGAATGCTTGCATTGTCTGGTTGATTTTGCAGACCTGGGGCCAGCAGTCTGAGCATCTCTTGGGATGATGACTATGCAATATAGCAAATACGGAGCATTTCCTTCTATATTGTCTTTGAAGTCATATATTATTCTCACTGTTATGCTTTATTCTGATAGTTTTGCTTTACTCAATATTCTGTTTTGATTGGTTTTATTCTGTCTTTGGTTTGATTTTTCTATACCTGATGGAATGGACAACTATTGTGAAGATAACAAGATATACTATGGTAGCTATTGTTGTTTTCCTAGTATCCTGATTTGAAGCTCTGTACCAATTTTGCTGCTTTGTTTTGGTTGGCTTTATTCTGTTTTGTTTTGTTGGATTTTACTATCTTTAAAATTTTTAAAAAGTGTTTTAAATATATAAGCTTTAGACTTCACTAACCAGTGTTCTTTCTCTGTTCACGATAATATTTTGGACTTTTATCAAATAGACTTTTGGATGTGAAAAAAAATGGGTTTGGTATTCCTATGTAAGGGGGAAGTACAGATAATTTCTTAGGACTCTGTAATTACCAAATCATAATGCTGATGAAAACTGTGTCAGTCTATGCTCTCAAAACTTTCTAAATCAAGTCTTTTTAGATAAAACAGTGTGCCCACAGTTATTAGCCCAAATCTTAGAAGGAAATAACTCAGCTACACATGGTGGTACAAATCCCAGTCTCAGTACTCTGGGAGGCTAAGGCAAGAGAATCACAAGTTTTGACCCAGCCTGGCAAATTAGAAAGAACCTATCTCAAAATAAATAATACCAAAATAAATATGAATACCAAATAATACCAAAATAAATATGAATACCAAAATAATACCAAAATCTTTACCTCTTTCTGTTGCAATTGATTTCGATAACTTGTAGACTGCTGCTTTATTTGAAGTTCTGATGCTTCGTGCTTCTCTTCTAGGTCACTACAAAGTTTTTTAAGTCTTTCATTCTAGAAGAAAAGAAAAAAGTATTTTCAACAAAAGGATTATGTTGTGATCAGGATTTACAATGGAAAGATTTAATCCAGGATGTGTAATTTACAGGATTATTTTATAATATTCACCCAAAGAGTCAAATGCAAAGGAGTACAGGAGATTTGTTCACACATTAGAGACCCAAAGAATCCAGCTGAGGGTCTGGAATCCATGACAATGCCCTCCACAAGTCCAGCTAGAGGCCTAGAGCCCACAACAATGTCTCACGCAAGTCTGTATCAAGGATCTGAACTGGGAAGGCCCAAAGGTCAGTGGTGGAAGCACAGAAAGTCTGAGGCAGCGGGATAAAGGATCTGTGCCAGCAGGTTGAGGGATGGAGCCAGGAAATAACACTCAAGGCAAGGACGAAAGCTGCAGCTGTCTTCAGCAACAGCTAGGACCCAAGCTCCTCTGAAGAGAATATCCAAGTTCATATCAGGAAGCCAGGATGATGAGCTTCTCCAGGAGAATCAACAGCGCACCATCCTCTGCTCCAGTTATCTTTTCATGCTGTTGGAACAATCCTCAGGTGGGCCTTCCACACCCAGCACCACGCTGACTTCGTTCAACTGGGTGTTACTTAACCCACCACAAATCACAAGTATAACTCGTTAGTAATGGTTATATGCACGCCACACTTATGTGTAAAAACATACTTTTCATACAAGTACCAAATGTAAGTCTCAGATAAAATTCTGTATTTTCAAGATAAAAAGTTACAAAAGCATGTTTATACAGATATGCCTAATTGTAAACTAAAGGGGGAATAAAGATTTTGCCACTTTGAATTTCTGCTAAGAAGCTCCTGCCTAAGATTCTCTCATTTTTATATACCCAGTGCCCAGCATCTAGTAGGTAGAACATGTCCAGAAAATGAATGAAGAGATTACATGTTAAAACAGTTGTGTTTTTTCCCTAAATGGTAAAATTTTTATTAAATTATACGTATTTTTTAAAATTTTATTTTGAAAGTATACAACAGAACAAGACAGAATAAAGCCAACTAAGATCGTACAGTGAAATTGGTACAGAACTTCACAGCAGGTTACCAGGATAATAGTAATAGGTATCACAGTATATTTTGTTATCTTTATAACAGTTGTTCTTTCAATCACATATGTCAAAATGAGATGAAATATAGAACACTATAGAACTTATCAAAACAGAATATTGAATAGAGCAGTACCATTAATCAGAAAAGAGCAAAACAGTAATGAAAATACTTGCCTTCAAAGAGATGGTAGAAGGAAGTTCCCCTTATTTGCTATGGTCAACCTCCCAGGAGATGCTCAGATTTCTGGTTCTCATTTGATAATGGGGAGACAGAAGTGGGATATTTGACTCTAGGCTGTGCATCAGTAGGTTCACTATTGCTTAGCAGGGAGGCAGGCTGATTGTTTGGTTTTATAGCGTCCTAAGTTCCAACATGGCACGGATCTCAGGAGCTGCTGCTGGTTCTCCCCCTGGAAGGGCTGCAGTCTGCCAAACTGCCACCCATTACCAGGGAGGAGAGGTGCTTGCTTGGCTTGCCAGTGTCCTAAATTCCAACATGGCGCGGATCTCAGGAGCTGCTGCTGGTTCTCCCCCTGGAAGGGCCCCAGTCTGCCAAACTGCCACCCATTACCAGGGAGGAGAGGTGCTTGCTTGGCTTGCCAGTGTCCTAAGTTCCAACATGGCACGGATCTCAGGAGCTGCTGCTGGTTCTTCCCCTGGAAGGGCCCCAGTCTGCCACACTGCCACCCATTACCAGGGAGGAGAGGTGCTTGCTTGGCTTGCCAGTGTCCTAAGTTCCAACATGGCATGGATCTCAGGAGCTGCTGCTGGTTCTCTCCCTGGAAGGGCCCCAGTCTGCCACACTGCCACCCATTACCAGGGAGGGGAGGTGCTTGCTTGGCTTGCCAGTGTCCTAAGTTCTAACATGGCGTGGATCTCAGGAGCTGCTGCTGGTTCCTGCTTGGCTTGCCAGTGTCCTAAGTTTCAACATGGCGTGGATCTCAGGAGCTGCTGCTGGTTCTCGCCCTGGAAGGGCTGCAGTCTACCACACTGCCACCCATTAACAGGGAGGGGAGGTGCTTGCCTGGCTTGCCAGTGTCCTAAGTTCCAACATGGCGCGGATCTCAGGAGCTGCTCCTGGTTCTCCCCCTGGAAGGGCCGCAGTCTGCCACACTCTTAAATTATATTTTTAACCTGTAATACTAACTACTTAAGCACTTAAGGCAGGAAGATCTCAAATTTAAGGTTAGCCTGGACAACTAGCAAGATCCTTTCTCAAAATAAAATTAAAAGTGTGGAGGTGTGGAATGTAGCCCAACATTCCCTGGATTCAACTCACAGTTTGAAACCAGGAAAAAAAAAAAAAAGATTTTTGGTTGGAGTACAATTAAAGACTCACATTATTTGCTTCCCTGTCCTCCAGGTTCCCTGAGGTACCTCTAAAAATCCCCATGTGAAAACTAACAGCAGAACTGTTTGAAAAACGACTGTTACAAGTATATGAAGAAGGAATTGAGGGTGCAGCTCAGCAGTAAAGTATCCGCCCTGCATACATGTGGCCCTGAGCTTGACCCCCAGTAGCGCAGCAAAAAAGTATACAACATAGTCTTAAATAAAATTTGGTGATCCTAGACATCACAGACTTTGTTGATAGGGAAAAAAATGACAAAATTACTCAAATCTTATGTACCTAATTGATAAATTATCTGTTATTATTCCTTGATATTTGGATGAATATAATTAGAACATATTGGAACAAGACAAACTGACCCTACAAGAGTTTAAAGAGTACAGCTAAGAATTTACTAAGCATTTTGTCGATATATCTACAATCACAATGTAGCCACGTTGACTGAGGAAAAGCAATGGACAGTGGGGTGGTGAAGGTGAAGATTTTTCCACTTTGGAGACATCATCTGTATTATTTTTAAGTTCAAACAACTTCTATGTGAAAAGCCACTTCCGGTAGAACATGGCGGACAAATAACAGCAGCCACGGAGGCTCTCTGAGATTACCAACTTAGAATCCAGGAGTGGTGCCGTGTGAGGAGTCCCACACGAGGGGAGATGTACCTTGCCAACCCAGGAACAAAGTAAGCTGAGAGAAACCAACTGGAAATGCAATCCTGATGCTATAACAGGAACAGATAAAATCTCAGTGCGGAAGCTGGATCCCGTGCCACTGGAAGCCACAATTTGAATTTCCTGCTGCCGATACTGTGTCCCAATCCGCACAGCAGAGAGAGAGGCGTGCCAAAGCTCTGAGAGCGGGAATCGGCCCAAATGGCGTTGAGAGCGTGACTGGCAGGGAGCCCTGCATCGACCTGCAGAGAGTGAAATGGGGACCCTTTCATAGACTAGGAGGCTCCAACAGAGGACATTCTGGGAACGGGCAGACTAGCCGGAACATAGTCCTGCAGTGACTTTAGTCGCATATTCCCCACATATTCCCCTCTCAAGCGGGAGTGGTGGGGAGCGCTTGGCCTGGTGACTCCGCGGACTAAGATCCTGTAGGCTAGCCCAAATTAGGTCCCTGTGCCTGGCGGTGCACCCTAGCAGTGAAACATTCAGTAGGTTGACCTGGAGGGGCGGGCCCAGCAGAGGCTGCCCAGGTCTGTGTCTCCCTAGTACACTGCAGTGGGCGGGAACACCTAGCCGGCGGATTCAAACAAACTGCCACAGACAAAGAGAAAAAAAAAAAAAAAAAACTGAGCCTCCTACATACGCTTGTATGGAAGGAACAAAAAGTATGGGAAAAGGGAACAACAAGAAAGGCTCCTCAGTCCCCAATCCTGAGAACACTGATCCAGGAAAGGTAAAAGCAAAAGAGAATGAAGACAGAAAACATGCAATATCAGACACGGCACCTATAGATATAAAGCGGTATCTCCGGAACCTCATAGAGAAGTTCAAAAATGAAGTATTTAATGAAATAAAGCAAGAAATAAGTAGAATAGTTAGAGAAATGCTAAGCACCACCCAAGAAAAAACAGATGGTGGAATGGAAGAACAGAAAAAAAGGGGAGAATTGTTTGATGGAGAAAATGGAGAAAACATAGAATACGTGAAGCAGGTTCACAGAGATTACCAGGAAACTAAAAACTCTATTGAAAGCTGGTATAACAGCTTGAAAGAAACTAAGGATAGATTATCAGAACTGTAGGACAGATTTGTAAGGTGGGAGCATGAACTGAAAAACTTCTTAAAAATAACAAGAAAACAAAGCAATAATACAAAGACTAGAAGATGACAAGAGGATCTATAACTTAAGAATTAAGAACATAAAAGAAGAAGTAGGGACTCAAACAAATGAACTACAAAAGCTATTCACAGAAATAATCCAGGAGAATTTCCCTAATTTAGCAAAAGGTAAAGATACTCAGATGTATGAGGCATACAGGACCCCAGCCACCTACAACCCAAACAGAGCTATACCCAGGCATATAATAATCAAAATTCCAGGAATCCAATATAAGAACAGAATATTAAAAGCCATCAGAGACAAGAAACAGGTCACTTACAAAGGAACACCCATCAGAATTACAGCAGACTTCTCGGCACAAACCATCAAATCATGAAGAGCGTGGGGGGAAATAATTCAAGCTTTGAAAGATAATAACCTCCAGCCAAGATTGATATATCCTGCAAAACTGTCCCTAGAAATTGATGGAAAAACAAGGTGCTTCCAGGATAAAGAGGAACTAGGGGAATTTGCAACCACCAATTCAACTCTACAGAGATTACTGCAGGATATTCTAAAAATGAAAAATACCAAGATTCCAGAAACAGTGGCAGAGCGGCCACAATGAATGGAGCAGAAAGTGAAATGAAAAGGACAAACTGACAACTAGTGACAGAAAAAAAGCTCAGCAGAAATGAGGCAGAGAAGGTTGGATAGTAGGAAGAGCCATTTTGGAGAAAACAAGACATCATAATAGGTAGTGCTGATTTAATATCCTCTTGTTTTGAAGTCCCATCAAGC